ATCCCAAATTATTAAAGGTACATTACTGATTAAATCAACTCTCAACGGCTTTCTACATACTAACAAAATGTTAATGTAATACTATACTGTATTGCCAAGTAAAAATCTGTTTGAACCTCAGTTCATAATTCAACAGTTGTAATACATGTTTGAAAAGTCCTGCCCTAAAGGATTCCCAGGCAAAACAAAGATACTAAAAACAAACATTTATCCCCTTTATGTAATAAAAGTTAAACGTTAAAAACTGTAGTGAAACGTTAAATTACAGTATACACATTTTGGGCATGCGAATTAGATTTTCAAACAACATCTAAATTGTCACATACTATACAATTAAATGTATTAAACAAATTTACAACATTGGTTCTAAATAAATCTGAATTGCCATACCATTCTTGTACGATCCTTGGCTGTGCAATATCCTTGAAATAGTTTCTCTTCCCCTCAACAGGATTACTGTATGTGTGAGCAGCATTCAAGGAGCTTCTATAGTCATTAGATAATTTGCACATGCAGCTGGCAGGAAGACACCATGTTTTCTAATGGCAATGTAAACATTCTTAAAAGTGATTTGTTCTATCAGCTGGTAAGTTTGTTTTGTGTATATGACCCAGTATGCACTTGACTAAATTTTGAGTTTCATAAGGCAGCTTCCATGGAACCAATGAATATAAGAGTTTGGGTGTAAGCAATAGTCAATGTGGTGATGGGTAGATAGTATGACTGTGTGCCAACTCTTAATTTCCCTTTCAGGCAAATTTATAACAAATTGCTTTTTTTTTTTCATTAAAACTTAAGCTTCACTCCAGACCACAACCCTCTATTAGAAACAATAAATTAAAAGGCCAAGTAATGCATACAATTTGATTAATTATAAAGCTCTGTGATCACACGTAAATATACTATGCCTCACACATTCCCTATTGTCCCATCAAGATAGTAGTGGAAGTGAAATAATATGCAGTGTATGAGTAGTGCACGAACACTGCCAAGCCAGGTCCATACAAAATGCAACAAGGAAAGGTCAATAACCGTGTAATAAATAAAGTGCAAAGGCTGGAACACAAGCAAATGACACACTGGTACAGCAGCTCATCTAGAGTGCTAAAGTTTCACTCATTCTATCCACAACTGTATTGTCTAACTTCAAGAAATCCTTTCTCTTAATTTTGTACTTTGTAGTCCAGTTCTTTCATATTCGATCTCAATTCCGTCTCCCTTTGGTACACTCAAAATTTAATCCAGTTTAATTCCAGTAAAACACAGTTTCGATACATTTTTCTTGTAATAGATGTTGTTAACTTGAGCTTCAGTCTTGTCACTATCACAAGCATCACAATCACATTCAATTTGTCATGGAAGCTTTGCATCTTAGTAACTGATAAAGTGCTTTTAAAAGATTTGGTATTTTCATCAGGTTCGGATTACATTTCACTATATCTCTACAAAAATATAATTGACCCTTGTCTAGAATATTACTCTTATATCTACCCTTTGTTTTTGACTAGAATAATGCTCTCACATCTGGGTTAATTCCTCCCACCAACACCTTCATCAAAATCTTTTATGTAATTCAAGTCATTGAACTACTCAATATCCTCCTCTCAAGCATGCATGCAAGCGCCCTCAACATCACACCATAGCTGAAGGACCGAGTTCATACATGTTAATGTTTACAGATGATACAAAATCAATGAGGAGAGTAAAGATTGAGGAGGACTGCAGAATACCATAGGAGTGGGCAGACTGTTAGATTTTAGCCCCCCAGTATGTGTAAGATAATGAAGATTGGGAGAGAGAAAAGGAGATTTAAAGGAGACCAAACCATCAGGAGATAGCTACAGAAATCAGAAAAATTAATATTTAGTCTGTATACATTACCAGCACGAATATTAGAAACACAAATAAAACAACAGAAGCAACATATCGGACGCTGGCACATATAACAAGACGTAAGTACTAAAACAGGGACTGCTTCAAGACAATACACACAATCTACATCAGATTAGTAGTGTACTTTATCACACAGTACCAGCATGGAGCCAACATTTTGAGAAGCACAGAGAGCTGGTGCCCAAAATAAAAGAACTAAGCTACCTAAACAATTAATTTTATGTTAATATTCCCTTTGTTATACCCCTTTCATCCACTTGCATTCTTCAATCATATCACCTCCCCCCTTAATTTTTTTCCTTCAAGAGAATGTAATTAAGCTTTCTTAATCTTCCTTCATAATGGAGGTTTCTAATTCCTAGGATTAACTTTGTCCTCCTCTGTACAATTAAAATGAATTTATTATAGTATGGTTACCAAAAGTGGAATCCATAATCTAAATGGCATATTAAGGGCCAGATAAAACTGATGAACAACATTAGATGTCTTGTTGATAAAGCATCTAGATATAGGTAAATCCAAGTATAGTACTGTATTCTATTTGTCTTGTTTCCACACATTTATGGTTTGAATGTTTAGCTTAAGATTCATACTAATTATGTGACTACCATGTTTTTTCATATTCAGATTTGGCAATTTCTACATTGTCCAATATTGTAGTGGGTTGCTAAGCTTATACAAGTGCATTTCTCTCTTTACGTCATTTGATCCAACTGCGTTGATTCTCCCCAAAATCCACAGGCAATATTTTTATGTATCTGCTCACTTATATGCTCTATGGCCTGAAGTGTCTGGTGCAGCGAAAATTTCGCTCTGTATAACACCATTTGAAATTACTCGTCTAATCCTGCAACATAACCTTATCAGTAATGTTAACGATTCTTAATTTGAAATTTTATCCTTCACATGCAATTTCTACTAAACCTGTTCCAGTTTCAAGAAAACTTATACATGATACCTCCATTGCAAATTGAATTTATCTTGTTAAAATGATTATGTTCAATGGAAGTACCCGAGCTTCATATTTAGGTTCAAAATTGCATAAATTGCTTGATTTAAAACTAAACTACTGGACAAGAAAAATTGGAGCCTCTGAACTGAAGATATACAAAAATGCATATGGCAATTTGTGAAGTTAATCTGGGCAGTGAGGGGGGTTTGTGGTGTAAAGAAGAGAAAGGTTTTAGGGGGAGAAATTAATTGGTGTGAACTCTGATATGGCAGTGATTACCTTGGAAGAGATTTGGGCTGGCTATGTTATCAAAATTGTCTTTAATTTCAAGCCAAAACCCCACATATTGAGTGCATGTACAGGAAGTTAGGCCTGCCTATGGCAAAACTTTGCTACCACACCAGACATATCAATATCAAAATACAACACAAGAACTAGAGTTGCTTAGTTACACAACTTCTCAACTACAAGATTTAACCAGTACACACACTAGCTAAATTTGAGACATTAACCTTATCATTTTTTAACAGTAAAACATATGTTAATGATATTAAATATTAACCAAGTAAAAACCTGTAAAAATTAGTGGCGATTCCCTTCAATATTATACACAAACACTAAACTTGATCCACATCAATGACCGATTTGAAAATTATTCTCGGCCAATAAACTCCACAATGAGTTTGACATTGTAAATAATGTGAGTTTCACTTATAAAATAGAACAATGATGTTAAAAGCCCTTTAGAGGTACATGAAGGCTTGCCACTAACATATGGCCAAGTGCCATCTTTGTGCCATAAAATTAGTGGTCTTTTCTTAATTTATGTAACTGTAAACAATCAAATTATGATATAAAATACGGCAAGTATATTAATAACACAAATTTAAATAGTCCACCTTATCTCTATCCATGTAATCCTAATTCTTATATAAATTGGAATGTTTATAGACCTGGAATGTTTAGATTAATATTTGTACCGTCAAAAGTTCTGAAATGTTTTGCTGGGTCTCATATGACTCTCTAAATTTCTTAAAGATAACCTAAAGACTCTTTCATTAAGTATGGAATTTAACTCTACAGGTCACCGCTTGGAAACCTGCTATTTTTACAACCTATCCTCCTGAAATGATGATTCTTTTGTAATTACATTGGTGAAAGTACCAATGTGTAGCAAAGGACCCCAGGTAAACCACACTTTGTGCTATATTTTATATAAGGCTGGAAAAAAACCCAGCGTTGAATGTAATGAAACTCCATTTTCTGGGTGAGCCCCAGAAGCTCCCTGGAGCTTATCGGGCTAATGTATGTTATATTAGACCGGGACATTAGCTAAGGAGTTCAGACCTACCAGGGACCAGCGCCAGAACCTGGCCCCTTCAGAGAGGTTTCAGGGAGCAATGGCCCTGGAAAACCCCCTTTTGGTTGGGGTTTTCCTTATCTGCCATCGACTGGGGTTAGCACCCAGAAAGGTAGGCATAACAAAACAAACCCCACATGGTAAAAAACTAAAACAAAAAAAAAACGAATGTAAAAGTAAACCAAGTAAACCGGTCGATGGCAGATAAGGAAAACCCCCAACCATATGGGATTTTCCAGGGCCACTGCTCCCTGAAACCTCTCTGAAGGAGCCTCTCTGAAGGTTCTAGCGCTGGTCCCTGGTAGGTCTGAACTCCTTAGCTAATGTCCCGGTCTAATATAACATACATTAGCCCGATATGCTCCAGGGAGCTGTAGGGGCTCCCCACAGAAAATAGAGCTAAAAACCAAATTTAAATATTACTAGGCCTAGTATAGCACTACTATTTACTACATTAAGCTTCAGATAATGTATATTAGGTGTAGGGTGATTTGGTTAAGTCTTATTAGCAACATAAATATAAAATCTTTTGTCATTTGTCCAAATTCAGTAATACAAAAGTCTACTTTCTGGTGGTCCATCACGACATATTTGTACTTTCGACCACATCGTTACTTTAAGTACTTTCACTTTAGGAGAATGGGGTGTATTCTAATATTTGACCATAACACCCTATGTTTAAAATGAAAAATATATATTGTAAATAAATAATAATTTTTACTGTACTTCATTCAAAAGATTCATCCTTCCTTAACAAAATCTTAAAATTCAACAACTATTACTCTAAATAAATACTTCATGAACCTTATTAAGTCGCTTGGTCTCCTCCTGCCGCTCTCGAGCCTCGTCAATCGTAGCAGGGGTTGGAACTCCCATGGGAAGGGACACTAGTTCATGCTCAAAGATTAAGATGTTCTCGGCTTCCACTGCAAGTAAATATTAGAAATGCTATTTGTATTGCATGCTAAAGAATAATCAACATAAATATAGAATCTTGAACACTGCAAGATAACCAGGCACTCATCTGGTTAAATTCTTTATTTTAACTCCTTTGTATATATACTGTACCTTAAATTAAACAATCTTTCACACACTGTAAATATTGTACTAATTATTTTTAATTTCATGTCCTAAGAATAAGACTGTGTGAGTAAAACTAAATGCAAAACTGGATTATATGAAGAAATATTATAAAGCTTGTCATTTATAGACTAATACAGTATTTGAAAAATGTATAATATTAGGATTCTTTATTATCTTTAGAAGTTATAACAATTTATACAGTTAATGTGCAAAAAAAGAGAAGCCAGGAACAGTACAACCAGAGCAAATACCCCACCAACACCTGTGAAGAGGATATGAGGACTAATGATACACCAATAATAAGCTAACATTTACAACAATTGATACTTTGTTAAATACCTACTTTTAATTCTGTTGAGCTTGGAACCATATGCTAAGTCTGCCTGATATGCCAAAACGAAGGTGAGTGGAAGCAGGGGGACCAGTGTGCCAGGCTTCCGAGTGCGCCGAAATCTGAAAAAGAACATGGCTTGTTGGCATTTTGCTTCTGTAAAGTGCTTAAGTCCTATTACAAAAATAACCATTTAAAAGTTTAAATCAAAGATGTGTTAAAAGTTGCTAGGATTGTCATAACTCCAAACTAATATTTCCAAGTGTTTTATTGTATTGTGTACAGAATTATGAGCTTGCAAAACATCTAACAAGCTTTAAAGTGATGGAGTCAAGAAATGATATAAACATGTATGGATTTGCTCAAGTTAAATGCTCTAAAGAGTTTTAATGTAGTAAGGAGTGCATGTGTAAAGGTGAATCTGGTAATAAATGACTCGTTAGATTAATAATATAGGTGTTACAAGATCATAAAGCCTACAATATATATTGTCCAGCTGGTGTTGTAATAAATTCCAGTACAGTAAACAATAGGATGCATTAGTATAAATTGATTTATATGCAATAAACGTTATCAAAGTAGGGAGAGTCCAAAATTTCCATTAATGTTTAAAGTAAAGTAAAGGTTGCAGCTATCCTAGCTGTATTTGCACTTGAGGTAACTAGATTTGAGTGTGACCAATCTGTGCTTGCCACAAGACTGAGGCACAGTGCTCAGATAGAATAATGGTAATTCTGGCAGATTCAAACAAGTATGCTGTAATAAACAACCCAACCCACATATACAAAATGAAAGTAATGACATTATAATTGAGCAATACTGGGAGATGGAACTAATATCAGGCAAGAGGTGGAAGGTAAGGTGAAATTTTTCCTGTTGGTTAAGATTTTGATTAACTCAATATTGGCTATATCTTCTTAAGTACTTTTGTTTTCATGATTGAGCAAAACTCTGTCTACTAAGACAGCTTGGTAATATAGCCACTATTTTTCAACTCACCAAAAATTTGTTAGTTAATTCTTTCCAGCCCATCAAAAGCTCCAGCCCAGTGTCTCTTGTGCACCACTAACATGGCAGGTATATGTAAATGGACCGTTCTTGTACCATGCAGAATTATGCCTAACAGAACAACCAAGTGGTACAGCTCAGCAAATGATAATTTTAAAATGTCTAAATCACTATCATGAACTATTAATGTGAATCCTCTTGAAGGACTTAAATGAAATTAACTGAATTAATGTTCCCCCCCCCCCCAGGTTATAATGATCTTATCTTCTGGCAATGTATCCTGGTTTCTGATTGTCCTTAATGATATACTGTATACTGCAATAAATATGTCAAAGATTTTAGATACTGTATCTTAAATATATTCACCGTTTTGAGATGTGGTATATATATAATTATGTAACATTAACTATTATACCATTATGTTTTTATACGCAATACTCACCCAGTTATCATTCCTATAGCAGCAACAGCATAAAATGCTCCAAACCAATACAAAAGCTCTCTTGATCGTGCTATCTGCATTGACATCATTTTCTGACGCATTTCATTCTGCATGTGGATCTGTCTCTCAAGCTGAAGAAGAAAAAAAATACAGTACTATAAATACAAGATAACGCCCTACCTTTCATACCTATTTTATGACCGTCACCAAAAAACATAAATTGTACATTTATGGTAGACAAAAAATATTTAAGAATCAATGGTCCAGCCACTAATGCAGATATCAAGATAAAAACGTACGTCTCTCTCTCTCTCTCTCTCTCTCATGACTGAATATTTGCAACGTGAATGAGCTGTTATTTTATGAGTAGCTGGCAGAGATATGGTTACTCTCTAGAAACTAATACTCTTCTCAGCCAGAGTTGAACCCCAAGATTATTTGGTTGACAGCCAGATACAATAAACACTTCATCATAATAATTTTATACTATACTAAACTGTATACTGTATATGTAACTAGAGGTTAGTTCATTGACAAGTAATTACCAATTAATGGTAAAATACAAATTTTAAATATAAATTCTCTAGATATTTAAAAAAAAAAAATTAACAACTTCAATACTATACACATAAATCACCATTGCTAATAAGACTGGTGGTGTAGCCGCAACACTTACTTGAACTCTCTGAGTCTCCAGCATAAATTCTTGGTTTTTACGAGTGGCTTCCATCATGGACTTGTTAACGTTACCCATGGTGGAGCACTTGAATCAAATTAGCTGCTAAATCTGAAAGCAACATTTTATAACAAATAAGTATGTATATATGTGTATGAATGTACAGTACATATGTATGTGTATATGTATATATTTTGTGTGTATATACTGTATCTGATATGTATATAATCTGTAAAATATTTTTGAAAATATTATAATTTGATGAACTAAATCATGAGATACCAGTAAATATTAAGTCTTAAAGGCCTTCATTTGTGCATGTTCCAGTAATGTGGTATTATAGTACTGTAGTGTGGGTGTATTGTGACATCCTAGTACTGTAGTGTGGGTGTATTGTGACATCCTAGTACTGTAGTGTGGGTGTATTGTGACATCCTAGTACTGTAGTGTGGGTGTATTGTGACATCCTAGTACTGTAGTGTGGGTGTATTGACATCCTAGTACTGTAGTGTGGGTGTATTGTGACATCCTAGTACTGTAGTGTGGGTGTATTGACATCCTAGTACTGTAGTGTGGTTGCATTGTGACATCCTAGTACTGTAGTGTGGTTGCATTGTGACATCCTAGTACTGTAGTGTGGTTGTATTGTGACATCCTAGTACTGTAGTGTGGGTGTATTGTGACATCCTAGTACTGTAGTGTGGATGTATTGTGACATCCTAGTACTGTAGTGTGGATGTATTGTGACATCCTAGTACTGTAGTGTGGATGTACTGTGACATCCTCAGATGAATCCTTTGTATAAACCTTCACAAAAGGAACACAAGGTGACACTATAGAATAAAAAAAAATATAAATCCATTGCCAAATGAGTAGGATTGTGGACACGTGAGATGATGATAATGATAATACTACCTCCGCCCCCCCCTCCTCAACGTATCACTAAGATGGGCCTATGACCCCTGGTTACCTACCTCCCCTTACGGTCCCTGCAACAGTCCCTTGCAACAGTCCCCTGCAACAGTCCCTTGCAACAGTGGTCGCCAGCCCGAGTACCTCTCCCTCAGGCCAATTTGCAACACACACGCATTACGAAACACTGTACAGGGAACTCCACCTGTAGCTGAATACCTAATGCTCCCCCGCAACACTAGGGTTGTTGGTGTGCTGTACTCACCACAGATGAGCCAGTCCCTGGGGCCACACGCCGCGGCCACTATACGGGGAAACAAAAAGTGGAATGAGGAGAATTTATTTAGTTTCCCCCTAACCCCTCACCCGGGCCCAGCTGCTGCCATAACAAACATTACAGGTCAATATTTTCCCATGTCTCACCCTCCGTCGTTTATAATAAATATAGGCAATAATATAAATATTACACGGTATATAACTGCACTCGCTCCTTTATTTAATATTACCTTCCAGACATAGCTGTGTATTGGTAATTAAGAAGTGTACAAAATTTAGAAGAATTCTACATTGGTTTTAAATCATGAAATTCAGAGGGCGGTCAAATTAAGGTAAAAAAAAAAAAAGGTCACGATATTTATGATTTAAATATTTACTAATAGATATTTACTAATAATAACGCTGCACGTATGACTACACTTACACTTACAATTTATGAATTCAGGGAACCTTACATAATTATACTTCACACGGTAAATATTATTGTTACTATTAGAATGACAATTTTTGTTGGTGGATCATTATCATTTCTTGTTTGTACCCTGATCGCCTTAAACTAAAACACGTTTAGTTTTTGCTTATACAATTATTTTCTGGAAGCTCTATTTAGAGTTTTCCTTCTTGCTGTGGCATGAGAGAAGTCAGTGTCTATAAAAACCAATCTATAATTCTGCGGATTTTTTTAGGAATTGGATAAATTTAGCGATAACTACTAAAATGCATTCAATAAATAGAAATGAGTTATTTAATGAGGGGGTAAATATCAAATAAAAATTTTGTATTGAGCGTCTTTACCATTTTGTAAATATTTATAGTTGTAGTCACTTAAACAATATCTTCAAGCACAATCTGATTGGCTGAACGCTTCTTATTGTTAGTAACTCATTTCTGATTGGCTAGAGCTGCCGCCTGTTCATCTGCTTGTCTTTGATCCCACCTGAAGGAGGTTTCCCTGGGCAGTCGAAAATAAAAGCAGTGACGTAATTTCTTGGAGGAATTGATTGAGTATCGCCGCCTTTTGGTCCAAGAGGAAGGAAGAGTGGCTGCCACAGGACGAGCTGGAGGGCAGGCTGTATTATCCTGGTGATCCTGTACATTCCTGCAGTAAGAGGCAGATTTTGTTGGTATTTGAGTCTTAACTACAGAGCCAGGCCAACATGTCGGTGAAGAAGATATCGTCGGTAGACGAATTTTCTGCACTAGAGAAGTAAGTTGCTGTCATCTGCCCGAAACGCTTTGCGTAATAGTGGCTTTAGGCATTGTATGTACTGGCTCTTATCTATAAATTCATCAAAATCTGTATCACCCCTTGTATGTATGTACTTTACCTAAATAAACATTTGATTTGATCTACTAGTTCTTAAGTACCTCAGGTTTGCATGCTTTCTGGCATTTGTTAATATGAAAAGAAAATGAGTTGTGGCTAGTAGGGGTCATTTTAGATACAGGTAGTCTAATATTATTGGTTAATTTATACTGCTACTACTACTGCCAAGATGATAATCTTAAGGCCAAATGCTCCGGTCACCACCATGATAGAGGCATCTGTCTTCTTTTCTGGTATTAGAAAGAAAAATGACAGTGGTGAGTCAGTCAGTCAAACTCTTGAGACTAACCAAACTAAATTTAACATGTCTGTACCTAACCCAGTAAAATGCATAAAGCCCAAAAATGAAATGAGAATCGGTATGCTGCATGGTATCTCTTTTGAGTTGTTATACCGCTACTGAGGAAGTGCTAGACGGATACTAGTCACTTTGATCTCAAGATGGTTTGCCAATGGATTTTAATGTCAAATTATATTTAAGTAAACTGAAACCACATGAGGGTCTGGGATGTACAGGATAGACTAATCATGAGACGTGTCCCTCTGCCATCATCCATTCCCTTGTTGCCTCATAAATGTATGAAAACCTCCCCTTTATAATTTATGGTTAAATACCATATAAGTGCTATAAAGTGATAATTTAAGTATTGCACTGTATGTAGATAAAACAATTAGGTTTTGCTCTTGTAATAAACCGTATCTTGAAACAATTAATTTCTAAAGATGCATCGATCCCAATGTACTAGTCTTCATTGTGACATGAATAAGTTTGAATGAATTATGACATAATGCGTGTGGTCATTTGTCTTCTTTAGAGTTGCCCAAATCAAAATATGACAGTTTAATATTTTATTTTTTCATGATGCTCTGAATTATATTTTTGTCAATGTGCGCTACAATTCTTAAAACTCGTAACCCTTAAATGATGTCTTATGATTCTGTTTGATGTATTTTTCATTTTCTTATGAAATAAAAAAGATAAAGAGCTAGATAAGGAGCAATAAATTATTCATTTATTCATTTATATCAAATTTATATCAATTATTCATTTATATCAAATACATATATATCATTTACAGTATATCCTTTGTGTTATCATTGTAGAGTGCATTATTCAGGATATAGACAATTCAGAGTATACTCAAAGCAACTCGCAGCACTTTTTGACCACTTTATCTTACATATATGTATTTTTATAATAATTATGCATGGAAATAACTACAAAGTATATAACCACAATAAGCACCAAATATCCCAGCCCAACCTATCTTATTTAATCTAACCTAGCCTTCCTAACTACATTGTGACATTTGATTCTCTGACTGATGAATGGCAGCACTTACCAAGCCCATGTGCAAGATTTTAGGGCTGGAGAACCTTGTTGATCATTAAAAGATTTGAACACCTTTCTAAGGACATAGAGTTTATTACGTATTATTATCTACAGTTTTTCCATTTGGTGGCTGGAGTCACTTTTTGCAACAAACGGGTGATAGATTAAATGTTGAAATTTTACTGGTATTTTTATTTTATTTTCAGAAATAATGGCTTATCTGTGATCCATTTCATGGCTGAATGGGCTCCACAGTGTGAACAGATGAATGATGTTATCACTGAACTTAGTAAACAACGAGAATTAAAGGTTTGTTTTTAAGTATCGGCCTGTATATGTACAGAAATTAATATTTATCTTATTAAAAGTTTGAACTTCCTCAAAATCCAATCTCGTATGACTTTTTTTCCATAGTCATCTTTATTTTCTCTCATATTTCTTCCTGCATTATTCTGGTTTTGCATGATATTGGTCACAAATACAATGTTCTGGACCCGAGTGTCATATAGCCATTTTCCACGTTATTAAATATTAATTATGTGTCTCTTGGCACAGTTGTTATTCACAGAGTTATACATCACACAGTATGTAGAGTAATGTGATGTATCAATGAGAAAATCTGTAGGAGTTGTGATGAGGGTTTGAATACATCAATGAGAAAATCTGTTGTGTGTGAGTTGTGATGAGGGTTTGAACCTATGTTCTGGGTGCTTCCAAGCATATGCCTTAGACAACTAGGTCATGACATGGTAAAAGGATTGCATCCTGGTATTCTACTGAATTCATGAGGGTTTCTGAGGCTTCCACTGGGAGTACCCTATGCTCTGGGAGTACCTAGAGCATAGGTACTGATATTCACAGTTATTAAATTGATACTTGAATACTTGGTGCCTCACGCATCTGGCTTGTCTAAAGTTATTAATTAATTTTTCTCTACTGATTAGGAAGTAACGTTTGGGATTGCGGTTGCCGAGGACATTTCAGATGTTAGCTTGAAGTACAACATTTCTGCTGTGCCGACTATTGTGTTACTCCGTGGTGGAAAACTTGTTGAAAGAGTTGATGGTGCTAATGCAGCTGAGCTTACTACTAAAGTGAAAACACAGGTAAGGTTAATGCATGAGGCACATAGGAATGTTCATTTATTTTTCATTTTGTCAGATTATACTTGCTAATTTGATATAAATATGAGCTAATGCAGGGGATAATTTTAACTCATTGAATTATATTTATACTAAGATAATTTGATTGATAATTTGACTAAGATTGTGATTAAAATTAGTTGGTAACAGAAGTAGTTGGAGGTGGCAAAAGTTTAAAAATATATATAGTTTAAATTGAACTGTTCCTTAAACACAAATGGTGTGCCTTTCATGGTTGGTAAAGGTTCTCTGTAAAGATAATCTTAAAAAAAAAGGTAACTGTCGTTGATATTTTTACAGGCAGCAAAGGCCTCCTTGATGTCAACTTCACCAGTTGCACCTGTTAAAGATCTTAATACTCGCCTCAAACAACTAATTAACTCTGCAAAATGTATGCTGTTTATGAAGGGATCACCAGATGCACCAAAATGTGGTTAGTATTTGTCTGATGTATTGTAGAACATATTATTGCTGAATTTATTCAGACATTTTAGTATGATGATTGTGAATTGGCAGTCAAGAAGGGTTCAAATTTTTATACTACTGTACTTATAAGTGGTGACCCCACTGCAAGTTGTTTCATATCCCTTATGCTATAGATGTGGGGAAATCAAGCTATCAACCCATCTCCCTAAATTTCTAACTACTGAAGGGCAAAATAGTTTTGGATTTGGGGCTGGCACCTGCCCAACTACAGTACTCTGTACTATAGTTGGAAGTGGCAAAAGTTTTTAGAGAAGGAAATTATGTTGTGCTAGGTTTATGCAAGACTAAGATTATTGGAAATAATAATGATGAGTGTGGCAAAGGAAATGTCATAAGAAAAGGATTGAACAAAAATGAAACAAATAATAAAAGAGTAGGTTTGTTAATGAACATTACGTATACAATGTGTGATAGACAAGAGATTTAAAATAATTTGGAATTGCTTGAAAATTGAAATAAATATAATAGCCAAGAATTATAGACCCATTTTAATTGGCAGTCTGAATGGTTAAACTGGAATAGATCCAGAGATTGGCATTATGGATAGTAGTGGTGTCCTATGAATACGTGACAGTTATTGATTTATAAATGTATGTGATGAAATAGTTGTGTATTATTAATTCATATTTTGAGCAGGAAGATATACGTAATTAAACTTTGTACTGTACAAGGTAAATGATATTATACTAAATAGTTTTATTGACAATGTGCTTCTTGAGAGAAGAATGCTTAATTATATGAAGGTGTGATGTGAAAGCATTGAGGAATATTGAGAGGTTTATCTGATAAAATGTTGATGCAGTGTAAGATAAGATCAAGTGGTGAAAGATATGATCGTACCTCAAAAACCCAGGATGTATGTTCGGTTAAGAATGCCATGGCAGAATGAGAGGAACTATATGGTGGGATGAAGTGGTGACAAGAGCAGTGGGTAATAAAAAGTGGGTGTTATGGAGAGAGGGCAAGAAAATGAGAGCATGATGAAAGCAATTAGTATATGAAATTATTAGTTATACAGCAAAAAAAATATAAGTAAAAGAAGTAGGAAGTTTATCAGGAAGACGAGAATATTAAGTAGGAAAGTGGAAATTAGAAGTACAGCAGAACCTCGGTTTAACTAACCTCGATTCAGCAAATCTCTGGTTGGAATGCACATCTTCCAGGCAGGGTTTACTCGCACGATTCTATGAACAAGACTTTGCTGAAGTGGGATGTGTGCGGATTTGCTTGGGAGGTTGTGACAGAGTTCACAGACTGGTGGAAAAGTTGCCTATCATAGGTTAAAATTAAAGATTACCTTAATGAAATGAGCCCATAGAGCATGGGAAATATGAGGGGGGGGCATGGTTGGTAATACTCTTAATAGGGGCTTCGATCACCTTTCATGATTTTCATAGATGGAAACGAGACAAGAAGAAAGCTGGGGACCTTGGGAAAGCCATTGAACATATTTAAAACAATTTTTTTTTTTTTAAAGTTGCAGAAGTTTTTGTTTAGTAAAATATGCTAGAAATCTAAGGGTATGAATGGTAACTGTTAATATAGTTCAAAATATGTTTTTAATGATTTCTGTAGATGGATGCAACTTTTCAAGAAACAGTTGGGGCATTTTATTGTATTAAAAAAATTAATGCGAATGCCTCCTGGAGGCATCTCTGGTTGCAATGAATTGGAGTTAGTCCATATAGTTCATTGAATTGAGGTTGCACTGTACTGTAGATGGAGAAAATAATTTGAAAACAATGAATGAGAGGTTCTATATGAACATTTCTTGATGTGAGAGCAGTGCAATATCATATGACAGCTGATATGTCTATGGGAGAGGAAGTGACAAAGGTGAACTGTGGGAAAGCTACAAGTATCACTGAGCTATATGAATGTTAATAAGTGGTGCAGAGAGACAGGAATTAAGTGGTGCAGAGAGACAGGAATTAAGTGGTGCAGAGAGACAGGAATTAAGTGGTGCAGAGAGACAGGAATTAAGTGGTGCAGAGAGACAGGAATTAAGTGGTGCAGAGAATTAAGTGGTGCAGAGAGACAGGAATTAAGTGGTGCAGAGAGACAGGAATTAAGTGGTGCAGAGAGACAGGAATTAAGTGGTGCAGAGAGTTTAGTGAGACAGTATGAGATAGTGGCATTGTACCAGAGGATTGAGAATGATCAACAATTGTATTTTAGTATAAAAATAACGTATTGAATGGAAGTGCTACAGAGACATTAGTTTACCAAGTGTTGTGAGCAAAGTGTATGTTAGGACAGTAATTGGAAGAGTGCACAAAGTTACTGAGAAGCCACTTGTCCACTTGCAATTGATTTTCAGGGTTCCCTTTTCATCAATTCATTTACCTCATTTCTAGGTTGAAAATAAGCAAGCTGCAGTACCCGATGTACTGTATTTGAACACTAAAGCTTTGTTCTGTATTACTATATTATGAAATTTTGGCTCTCAGTCTTAACTACTGGTTATATATATATTCCCATTATTCATACACACTTTGTGTACATTTTTGTTGTCTTTTGCCCTGTTGAATTATTACTGTCTTGGTATCATATACTGCATTTCTCTTATGTCTTGATCTCTTCCATGTTTATTAATTTTAAATTGCTGCATACACTGTAAGTTATATTTGCTATTATTGTCCCAGCCTAACTTAGCATTGTCTAACAATACGTTTTCTGGCTCCTTATGGTAAGACATCTCCTTTCAGTAAATCATAAATCTTATTCATTGCTTTTCACTTTGAAGGGTTCAGCCGCACAACAATAGACTTGCTAAATAAACACGAGGCCGATTACTCCAGCTTTGATATTCTCACGGATGAGGAAGTACGTCAAGGCCTTAAAACCTACTCAAATTGGCCTACTTATCCACAGGTTTGTTCACTTGTTTGATATTTTACATATGTAATGTCACAAAATTAAATTAATTGTGAGTAACAATGACAATAACACCTCGACTCTTCCTTGTAACTCTTGGTTTTTCAGTCTGGGAAAATATTTCGTAGCTTGCCTTTGCACTTTTTCCAGTTTACTGGTGTGCTGCTTAAGATATGGGACACATACAACTGCTACATATTCCAATTTTAGTCTCAAAAGTCATGAACAGTTAAAAGCGATTCTGAAGTTGGAAGTTGTAGTACAGTATATGGCTCTTTGCACAATGTCTTTTATGTGGTCCTCTGGTGACTGTCTGCTACCACCCCTAGATCTCTCTTTCTTTGTCAGGGTACTTTAATGCCTTTCCCACATAATTTGTAGGTTGTGTGTGTGTGTGTATATGTGGCCTATTTTCTCCAGTTCCACATGCCATAAGATGGCATTCATTCACTGAATTCCATTTTCTAAGTGTTGCTCCATGCTGTACTTATTTTGCCCAGGTCATCTTGAAGGACAAGACGGTTGTCTAAGTGTCTTATCTTTTCTAGTAGCTTAGCTTCATCAGCAAACATGCTCATGTAGTTCTGTATTCCTTCTGGTAGATTGTTTATATAGTAATAGTAGGCATCCATCAGTCTCAGGAGACTATGGAGTTGCGCTCTGGTTGTCGGTCTGAAGTTGCCTCTCCAGGACACCAAGCCAGGGTAGGTTGATATGGAGGAGAAGCTGTCATCCAAGCAGCAGGTTTCCCCTCTCCACGGCGCTGAAAGTCTCAGATGAATAGGCAAATACCAATGCGATTGGTTCCAGCGCCGTCACAGGAACTATCAGAACGAGGTAACAATGAACTGCCCTAGGGCAGTTCATATAGTTCATATAGATGATGAACATTACTAGTGGTACCCCATTAGTAACACTTCTCCAGTCTGATGCATTCCCTCTGATTACTGTCCTCATCTTTCTTATAACAAAATCCTCATTTTGGGATCTATGTCATCAGTTTCTCTGTCTGTGTGGGACTTGCTAAGTCTCTTTTAGGTCCATATAAACACAGTCAACCCAACCATCTTTTTCCTGTAGAATCTCTGATTTGTTACACAGGATCTCCCTGTTTGAAAGCCATACTGTCTGTTAATATAGCGTGTGTGTGTGTGTGTGTGTGTGTTTGATCAAAAAGGTGGTAATTCTATGCTACAAGGTTGGAGAGGAACTGTATTATATCTTTGCTATTTCAGTATTAAAGTAAATATTTATAATCAAATAATCACATTACTTTCACAAATGTAGTAACGTATCAAGTTGAGAGCAGACTATTCAAGATGATATAAGAGGTTTATAAATATTCAAGATGCAAGAGGTTTATAAAATTTTGTGATTAAATTTTGTTAAGCTCTTGCAGGCAAAATGCCATTTTCAGTAGTGTATTTTTTCTAAACAGTAGTTCTTTACATTGTCAGTACTTTATGATAAGTTCAACCAAATCCATAATGTTTATGCATTGTTTTAGTTGCTAATATATATTTATATATTACAGTACTCTAATTCCACACAGTAGACGGTGAATGTCTGTAACTATGCTTTCAGTTTTCAGACAGTAGGTAATGACACATTGACATTAACAAAGTTCTCAATTATTTTGTTAAAATTTTTTAATCCATTGTATTTTGTATAAAGGTATCTTGACAAAATCTTTTTATTTTAGTATATTTAATATAGAGTTTGGTAAACTATGTATTGTTGATCTCTTTGGTATAAAGTGTGTTAATCAGTAACTACAGTATCTCATTCAGTTATATCTAGAATATAATTTCCATTTGTTTGTGTGTGTGTGTCCAAGATTGAAGGCTTGGGGATAGTGTCATTATACTTTGCAGGATGACTGGTAGGCGTTCGATGATTATCATAAGTGGGTCAGGATTACCCAGTAACTCTCATGGTGACCTTCATGAAATCAGTAGAGATCAAATGGTGGCCACAGAGTTCTTAGAGTTTCATCATCTGTTCATTTATGCAAAATGCATGTTTTTAAGGCAAATTTGCATTCTGTGGGCTCTCAACTGTTCAATGGTGCAATCTTTCTAGGGTCAACTCGGGCAGGTAGTTTGCTATAAATTTGTGATAAACTATACCAGTGTGATTATTAAATTATCATAATTTGTCAGTGAGGCTGGATCTTGCTTCTTCTGCTTTAAAATAGTGTAATGTACCTTGGCTATTATAAATTTATAAATCCTGGCATTTCATCCTGGCAAGGCTGTATGAACCATGAAAGATACTTCCTACAATGTCAGTGCTAATATTCAGGATACAAAGTAATCATTGTGGTGGTGCTACTTAAATTATAGACAACATGTAGGTTAGAAAACAGTTAATGATTATTTTTTGTCCCCAAGGTGTATATTGATGGGGAGCTTATTGGAGGTTTGGACATTCTGAAGGAAATGGATGACTCAGGGGAGTTAGGCTCTATGCTTCCCAAGAAACAAAAGCTGGAGGATAGGTAAGTAACTTTCTTAGAATGAATGAATTGCTATATCTTCAATTCAATTTAGCAACTTGATCTGGGAGTTATGATTAGTAAGAATCTAAAACCAAAAAATCAATGCATAAATGTTCGTAATAAGGCAAAAAGGACACCGAGTTTTATTAATTGAAGCGTTAGTAACAAGACTCAAGTGATATAAATTCACTTGAACGTGTCCAGTGTAGGATGACAAAGTTAATTCCCCAAATTGGAAATCTTTCATACGAAGAAAGATTAACAAAGCGTAAATTGCATTCACTGGAAAGGCGAAGAGTTAGGGGTGACATGATAGAGGTTTACATGTGGATGAATGGACATAACAAAGGGGATATTAATAGGGTATTAAAAGTATCAACACAAGACAGAACACGAAGCAATGGGTATAAATTGGATAAGTTTAGATTTAGGAAAGACTTGGGGTAAATAATGGTTCGGTAACAAGGTTGTTGATTTGTGGAACCAATTACCGCTTAACGTGGTGGAGGTGGGGTCCCTTGATTGTTTCAAGCGTGGGTTGGGTATGTATATGAGTGAGATTGGGTAGTTATAAATAGGAGTTGCCTCGTATGAGCCAATAGGCCTGCATTTACCATTATTCTTAAGTTCTTACATAAAACTGCTGTTAACTAAACCTAGTTACAGGAAGAGAGCTAAGCTCTTTGTGTCCTATCTTCCTTATATTCATCTTAAGGAGTTTTGAAGCTTTCATTGGTATTAGCACATACTTACATCTCTTATAATTTATTTATTATATTTACCACTCTTTCCTAAAGCATATTTTTTAAAGTTTTTTACAAACCTATGGTTTCATAATTCATGTCTGTTTCCTCTGGCGAAGCCACTAACCTAACCACAAGCAATTATTTTACACACGCTTTACATGAATTCATTCATCACATTTTTGAGTTGAAAAGAGAGCAAACAGCAATGCTATACAGTAGTGAACACTTTAGACACTGAAAACAATATATTGTATAGCAGTTATCTCTCTCGAAACTGATCACGAATTTTACTGATGAGTACAAGTTAAAAATGAACCAACTCATTTATCATAATATAGTAAATAAACTGAAACATGACTTTTTGAGCATTAATATCATTTTCATATCTTTCCAGCTAAGTGGATACCATAAAACTTTACACAGTTCTTTATCTCTCAGACAGAACCATTTGGGCAACCTAACCTCACAAAACACACGTGAATTACCAGATGTGAAACACAGATGTGAGAAGCCCTGAGAAATAGGCAGCAAGACCGGGAAGCGAGAATAAAAAAACCTTAGGAGCCCAAAAGTGGATGGTCCACTAGACCTCGGTCACTTGATGAAAGTTAGGAAGCAGGTTTTTAGTGCTCCAGTTAACCCAAGAATGTGAATAATGGGGAATCCCAGAATTCAGAATGGTATTTTCAAGTGTTAAAATGCTGTAATATTTTATGAGGGTAGTAGGGTTTGTTGCCATATGCAGTCACTGTATAGAGGTGAAGGAGATGCAATGGTGGGAAATTAGGAGTTTCTAAAGTTTCTGATTTTGACATACAGTACAGTGGTCCCTCAGCTTACGAATTTAATCCGTTCCCAGAGACGGTTCGTAAGCCGAAAATTTGTAAACTGAAGCAAATTTTCCCCTTAAGAAATAATGTAAATTAAATTAATCTGTTCCACACTCCCAACAAAATTAACTTCAAAAGTAAATTTGATATCTAATTTACCCAAATCTTCAGTACTAAAGTATGTACAAGTTATTGCTTACCTTTATTGATAACTCTTGTTGGTGTGTTTACTAGTTGTGTTTTTACTAGTTGTGTTTTTGCGGGGGTTGAGCTTTGCTCTTTCGGCCCGTCTCTCAACTGTCAATCAACTGTTTTCTAACTACTTTTTTTTTTTTTTTTTTTTTTTTTTTTTTTTTTTTTTTTTTTCTTTTCCCAAACCACACACACACACCCCAGGAAGCAGCCCGTGACAGCTGACTAACTCCCAGGTACCTATTTACTGCTAGGTAACAGGGGCACTTAGGGTGAAAGAAACTTTGCCCATTTGTTTCTGCCTCGTGCGGGAATCGAACCCGCGCCACAGAATTACGAGTCCTGCGCGCTATCCACCAGGCTACGAGGCCCTATGTATGAGGTGTATGGAAGACGGTGAGAAGGGGGGGGAAGGAGGAGAGGTGTTAGTGTTTGTAGAGAGAGAGAGAATCTAAATAAATGTCCTTTGTTTATTAGGTAAGGGATTTTCATTTATTTATGCTTCACAGAGCCATGTTTTTGTTTTTCCAGATTAAAAGTTCTAATCAATAAGGCACCATTGATGATATTCATGAAAGGAGAAAGGGGAGCACCTAGATGTGGCTTTTCAAAAACTTTGATTGGCATTCTCAATGAAACTGGGTGAGTTGTTGGTAATTAGTATAGTAATACTATACAGTGTAACCTCCACAATTGTGACCTTTTTATAGCAGATAAAATGAATTTCTTCATTTGGTCTAATGCATGGTGGTGTTTGCCCTGTTATTTTGGGAACCCCTCCCCCACTCCCTTTTTTTATGACTGTCTATCCTATTTAAACAAAATAGTGTTATGAATTTATTTTTATAATTTTTATATAAACAATATGTAATGCACAGTGTTTAAGATGTATATATTTTTACCTTAATAGAGATGGGATGATGTTGAATGCCTAAAGAAGGTACAGTTGTACAGTGCTTAATATTTTTAAGGATTTTCACTTACACTATGTACATGGTAAATTATAGTAGTAGTATTTTACTTGGTAATTATTACAAAAGGTAATGGCTAAATTATTCCAAAGATATGGTGGACATGAACTATATTAGTCTGCAAAAGTGGTGCTCCATTTTATTCTTTTCTCGTGCTTCTCTTGGAGGCTTGGGAGGAGTGAATTTATTGTAAAGTTTCTAAATCATTGGAAATTTACAGACTGGAGTATGACACCTTTGATATCCTTACCGATGAGGAGGTTCGACAAGGACTGAAGTCATACAGCAATTGGCCCACTTATCCTCAGGTACCACATTAAACCATATTTCAAACGACATAAATACCAAAAAATCCTTAATATGTTGCCCCTTTATTCCATATTATTTTCAAACTTAAATTCTCATATTTCCTGCTTCTTCCACATTTTATATACCAGATAAACTACCGTCCTTTCTCATACTTTTCCTCTGTTTCTGATCGCTTTCTAGTCATTATCTTGGAGCCACTCTTTACATCCCATTCAGTTCCTCTCAGTTTTCCATTTCATCCAATTTCCTCTCAAGACATGAAGAAATGTTTTGTAACTTGTGCACCCGTCGCCTCTCATTTCATCCTATTTCTGTGAATTTTGTTCTTATTATTTCCTTTTGAATAAGATAGGTATCAATTTGAGTGAACCAAGATAATGTGTTTGAAAATGTCTCTCCTATTTGTATGCTTTTATTGTTCTAAAGGAATATGAGCTTACATAAACTCATTATTGCCCATCGGTCTTGAAAAGGTACTTTCGAATTATTTTATTTTATTTTGGCTGTTTTGTGTGAGAACACGTAAAATTAAGAGTACAGTACAGTACTTTAAGAAAAATTTGAAAAATTGTTGATCCAAGATTGTTCTTGTTTTGGGACTTCACCCCCCCCCCCCCCCCCCCCCCCCACCCCCACACTAAAGTTATTTGTGACCTCACTCTTCACTATGTTCTTTTTACATTCATTACTACTATTCATGTCTGATGAATTTGGTGTTTAATCTTGACCTCAAATAAAACATATCTTAGAATTATTAAATTACGTCAAGCCTGACAGGTTTGACGTGCTTATTACTGTTACTGTACCTTTATGGAGCTGCAAGATTCATACTGTACTTAGATGAGAATATTGGGCATTAATGAGTTTGTGGAGTTGGTAGGCACCTGCCTGTAGTAACCGTTAAGTTACTTACCATTGTAGTTAAATATTTGATTTTGCAGGCGATAATCATATTTGGTGATATTGATATGAAATCAAGTCAAACCAAAATTTTTTCTATTCCCTGTTATTTTAAATACCAAAAGTATATAGTGATATGTATGTATATGTGTGTGTGCACGTATTTACTATTTGTGTCTACAGAATCGAGCTATTAACTCTTGGACCCCGCATTTCTAACCAATTTATCTTTCCTCTTATTATGTCTATTACATATATTTATCTCTAACACACACATACATGCCTAGGAAGCAGCCTGTAGCAACTGTCTAACTCCCAGGACAACTAACTCCCTATTTACTGCTAGGTGAACAGGGACACCAGGGTGAAAGAAACTGCCCATTTGTTTTTGCCTTTGCCAGGGATTGAACCCGGGGTCCCTTAGGACTACGGCCCCAGAGCGCTGTCCACTCAGTCCCCTAATGTGTAATTACCTAAGTGTAATTACCTAAGTGTAGTTACAGGATGAGAGCTACGCTCGTGGTGTCCCGTCTTCCCAGCACTCTTTGTCATATAACGCTTTGAAACTACTGACGGTCTTGGCCTCCACCACCTTCTCACTTAACTTGTTCCAACCGTCTACCACTCTATTTGCGAAGGTGAATTTTCTTATATTTCTTCGGCATCTGTGTTTAGCTAGTTTAAATCTATGACCTCTTGTTCTTGAAATTCCAGGTCTCAGGAAGTCTTCCCTGTCGATTTTATCAATTCCTGTTACTATTTGTATGTAGTGATCATATCACCTCTTTTTCTTCTGTCTTCTAGTTTTGGCATATTTAATGCTTCTAACCTCTCCTCGTAGCTCTTGCCCTTCAGTTCTGGGAGCCACTTAGTAGCATGTCTTTGCACCTTTTCCAGTTTGTTGATGTGCTTCTTAAGATATGGGCACCACACAACAGCTGCATATTCTAGCTTTGGCCTAACAAAAGTCATGAACAATTTCTTTAGTATATCGCCATCCATGTATTTAAATGCAATTCTGAAGTTAGAAAGCATAGCATAGGCTCCTTGCACAATATTCTTTATGTGGTCCTCAGGTGATAGTTTTCTATCTAGAACCACTCCTAGATCTCTTTCTTTATCAGAATTCTTTAAAGATTTCTCACATAATATATAGGTTGTGTGGGGTCTATGTTCTCCTATTCCACATTCCATAACATGACATTTATTAACATTAAATTCCATTTGCCAAGTGGTGCTCCATATACTTATTTTGTCCAGGTCTTCTTGAAGGGCATGACAGTCATCTAAATTTCTTATCCTTCCTATTATCTTAGCATCATCAGCAAACATGTTCATATAATTCTGTATACCAACTGGTAGATCATTTATGTACACAATAAACATCACTGGTGCAAGAACTGAACCCTGTGGTACTCCACTTGTGACATTTCTCCATTCTGATACATTGCCTCTGATTACTGCCCTCATTTTTCTATCAGTCAGAAAATTTTTCATCCATGATAGAAGCTTACCTGTCACCCCTCCAATATTTTCCAGTTTCCAGAACAACCTCTTATGTGGAACTCTGTCGAAAGCCTTTTTTAGGTCCAGATAGATGCAGTCAACCCAACCATCTCTTTCCTGTAATATCTCTGTGGCTCGATCATAGAAACTGAGTAAATTCGATACACAGGATCTTCCAGATCGAAAACCATACTGTCTGTCTGATATTATATCATTTCTCTCTAGGTGTTCTACCCATTTAGTTTTGATTAGTTTTTCCAATACTTTCACTATTACACTTGTCAATGATACAGGTCTATAATTGAGGGGGTCTTCCCTGCTGCCACTTTTGTAGATTGGAACTATGTTAGCCTGTTTCCACCCGTCTGCTACGATTCCTGTACACAGGGATGCCTGAAAGATCAGGTGAAGTGGAATGCTGAGCTCAGATGCACATTCTCTCAGAACCCATGGTGAAACGCCATCTGGGCCAGCTGCTTTGTTCTTACCGAGCTCCTTGAGCATTTTTTCCACTTCGTCTCTAGACACCTCTATGTGTTCTATGTTGTTCTCTGGAATTCTTATTGTATCAGGTTCCCTAAAGATTTCATTTTGTACAAACACACTTTGGAACTTTTCGTTTAGTGTTTCACACATTTCCTTTTCATCTTCCGTGAATCTATTTCCCATTTTCAACCTCTGAATATTATCCTTTACCTGCAATTTGTTGTTTATGAATTTATAGAATAGACCTGGTTCTGTTTTACATTTGTCCGCAATCCCTTTTTCAAAATTTCTTTCTGCCTCTCTCCTCACTGCCGTGTAGTTGTTTCTCGCATCTTTGTATCGCTGGTATGTTTGGGGGTTCGGCCTCTTCCTGTATTGATTCCATTTTTGTGTCTTTCGGTCTCTAGCCCTCTCGCAATTTCTATTGAACCAATCCTGTTTCCTAGTTCTGCATCTCTGTTTTGGTATAAATTTTTTTGTGCCTTTATCATATATTTCACAAAACTTGCCATACATCTCATTCACTTCCTTGCCTAGCATCAAGTCTGTCCAATTATACTCACTAAAAAAATTTCTAAGGTCACCATAATGTCCTCTCCTGAAGTCTGGTTTTTCAACTGCTTCAACCTCCTTATTTTCTTCCAGCTTATAACGCATTGCATACTTTATTCCCAAAAAGACATGGTCACTTTTACCCAAGGGAGGAAGGTACTGAATGTCAAATATCTCTTCCTCCTTCCTGGTAAATATCAAATCTAGCATGGAGGGAACGTCCCCTTCCCTCATCCTCGTAGCTTGTTTAACATGTTGATACAAGAATGTTTCCAGGATGAGGTCTACAAATTTACAGGTCCAAAAATCTTCTGTTTTAGCTTCATATGCTTCCCAGTCTATGGATTTCAAGTTGAAGTCACCGACTATCAACAGTCGTGATCTATCGTTATCCGCTCTGGCTATAATCTCTCTCATTATTGTTATAAGACCTTCACGTTTACTATCTAGCTCCTCCTTTGACCATGTGCTGCTTGGCGGTGGACTATATGCATTTATCATCATTAGTTTATCATCCTCATAGCAGATCTCTAGTGCTATTATGTCAACTTCTTGTGGATTGGCAGTCATTATTTCCTTCACCTTTAGGTGTTCTTTTACCAGCACAGCAACGCCACCGCCTTTCCTAATTTTTCTGTCCCGTCTCCAAATTGAGTAGCCCCTTGGGAATATGACCTCATTTAAAATTACATCTTCAAGTTTTGTCTCCGTGAGTGCAACAATGTCTGGTGTCTGCAGCTGTATTACATCACTTAACTCCAGTATCTTCGATCTCACTTCGTGTGTGTGTGTGTGTGTGTGTGTATAATTACCAAAATGTAGTTACAGAATGAGAGCTATGCTCATAATGTCCTATCTTCCCAGTACTGTCATATAACGCTTAACTACAGATGCTTTTGGCCTACAGCTTCTCACATAGCTTGTTCCAACCATCTATCACTCTGCAAAAGTGCACTTTCTGATGTTTTTTGGCAGCTTTGTTTCCTTAGTTTGAACTAAGATTACCAACTATTACTAATCATGTATGAATCACAGCCTGGTTGATCAGGTATCCTTTGAAGGTGCTTATCCAGTTCTCTCTTGAACACTGTGAGGGATTGGCCAGTTATGCCCCTTATGTGTTGTGGAAGCGTGTTGAACAGTCTTCCACATTCAACCTTCCAAGTTTAGATTTTCCTCTCCTGAGATTAAAGTTTCATTGAATACATATTGCCATTGATTCTATAAATTTAAGTGTTTTGAAGTTATTACATACACAATAACATTAAATTTATTATGATTCACTTTCAATATTTACAGATCTATGTGAAGGGGGAGCTTGTTGGTGGTTTAGATATTATCAAGGAGCTTCAGTCATCAGGTGAACTCATGGCAACTTTGAAAGGAGAATAAATGTGAATGAAATATATCTTGTTCTTGTAAGAGAACAAGATATTATTTGTCCATACAAATTTAAACAGTATGGACAAATAATAATGATGTATGGAAAATGTAATGTATTCTAACCATGGAAAAAATTAACTATTGTATTAATCTTCGCATTGTGTTGTTGCCTTTCAATGAAAGACGTTGTTACATAATAAAATCCATGTCAGATTCTTGTAATTTTTATTTTCTCATTCATTTCATTCTCCAGGTTACTGTGGTATTTTGTCCAGGTATGTCTGTCGAGAAGGACAGATTAAAGGAAAACAAGGTTTGATATTGCTTGTTCATATATAGAGGTAATTATCAGGAGCCATTATTACTAATCCATTATGACTGTATAGTGACTGTATTACTAATCCATTATGACTGTATAGGGAGTGACAGCCACTGGCTGTCACTCCCTCCCGCCCTCACCTCACCTGATTCGCCACCATTCTCCTCCCACCATACTGTTTTTGCTTTTATTCACTATATACAGACGTTATATATATAAGTATCTGTATGTTTTGTTCACCATAGCGAACAACTAAGCTGGTATAGTGAGTCCAGACAGTAAATGGTGATCACACAGAGTCAGCAGATAACGCTACCTTCCTTCCCACCAAGATTACTCCTACAGCGCTAATTATCACAACACTCCTGCTATTATCAGAATCCTGGTCATTTTTATCACAGTCAGGGGTCTTCTGTAATACTATCATCGCTAAATAATAGCATGTACATATATTATGGCATTTTTAGGCGATGCTGTGGTCACAAGCTGAACAGCAGTGCTGTGAGCTCATGCTACGTGCGCCATCCTTGGTGGCTCACTCAGTACTGAGGACCTCACACCCGGGAATGTGGCCCATGATTTTTTTTTAAATGGCGCCTGTTTACAAGAGCCCTGATGAAGGTGAGGTAAACCCTGTGTATCCGCGGGCCGTTTAAATCTTACGTAGTACTCCATCACGTCATATGACGTGATGCGCAATTTGTAGCAAGTTACTCAACACTTCATATGATGTGTTGCGCAGTTTAAGGATTAAGGGCTGAAAGACTTCTATATGAATATTTGATGCACATTGTGAATCTGACTTGGAGGATGAGTTGTAACATCTAAATACTTTGGTGGGACTTTGTTCAGTTTTGTTTCGTTTAGTTTTTCATAACCTGCATATTTACTTTTAACAATTCTTTCAAACCACTTTTTCATTGCATATTGTAGCTTTTTTAGTGTCAGATTTTACAATTGATACACAATTCAACATTTCTGAAGACACTAGCTTTTCATTTTTTAATTAAAATTTAACCATGCAATATTTTTTATTACCATTATTAAAAAAATTGATGTCCAGAAAAAAATGATGGGACTAAAAAAATTGCCAAATTTATTAACTTTTTATATAAAAAATTATAATCACATTCTCAAGGTTGAGCACAATTATGAGGGACAAAGTTTGGTGCATTTGGGTCTTGGTGCATTTCAGTTAACTGAAAAGCTTTTGGATAACTTCACTGTACATAGTTGACACTGGTTATTTCCATAGTTCACTAACTGCCATGTTCACAATTAACTAAATTTGCTTTAGTATTTTTTCCTCGTGAATTGCCTTCATATGTACAGTTGCTTACTAAATACCTATTCAGTACATGCATAGTTTTATCTGGCAGTGCAGCGCTGACACTTCACTGCTTGTTGCCATTCCCTGCTTCACATCCGATGTGCATTGTGTATTTTGAGGCCAATTCAATTCTCGGTAATGCCACAGAGGGGAGTGAAAATCATTCTGTTGAGTTGCTGTTAACAAACTCAAATGTCACTAGCTCTACCATCTGCATGCTGGTAAAAGTATAATACAAACAGTTTAAGATCTTGGTAAAAATTAAGCCAAATTAAGAAAGTATGGTGATGGGCTGGCAATAATTCAAAGCTGAAAATAGTGATAACATAGTGATAACATTCCCTCTGCTGCCCTTCTCTAGGGATTGAACTCCCTTAACTTATCCTCATACTTTAGTGTTCTCAATTCTGATATGGGACTTGTGAACTTTTGTGTTTCATAAGGTGCAAATTCCATGCATGTGCAAGACTGGTATTAGTCTCCCACATGCTGTGTATTTGGTCCTGAAAGAATTCTTATTTAGATTTTTAAATGCGATTTATATGTTTCATAGTTTCCAATATATTGCTAACATTATCCTGTTTACATGCACATCCTGTGTTAGTGTAGGAATTGCATCTACTCCTAAGTTTCTTGTTGTTGATTATTGTAGTAGTTTTCCTCATAGTTTAGATTCCATCTGGTCTCCTGTTTCACTGTTCCATCTTAATTACTTTGCACTTATTTTTAATGAACTCTAAAAGCAGTTTTTAATGCACATTTTCCAGGATACTGTGTCCTAGACAGTCCTAAACTCCTCCAACAAAGCTGTTGACTCCTTACCCCTGCTTTCATACAGGGTAGTTGTCAATTTACCTCCAGGGGGAGCGTCATAGTTCCCTTTTGTCGGCTTTCTCTTTTTATGCACTGGCCTGGAGTGGGATTGCTTGTTTTTTCTGTACTTGGCAATTGGCAACTCTTCCTTTCTGGTAAGGAAGGTTTTGTCAGATATTTAGTGAGTGAGCAACCTGGTTTCCTTTAACCCCTGCTTGTTTGAATATGAAGTCTCCTCTTGTATACCTCAAATGTGGTCTACTATAGTCATGACATTCTTGTGCTTCACAGGGTTCTTTCAGTTTTATCTTTGTGTGACATCAGAGCTGGATTTCTCTCTCTCTCAGAGTTAAATTTGACTTTTGTGTCCTGATTGCAATACTAGCAGGTTCTCTCTTCCTACTAACTGGTAGGCAAGTCTTTATTCTCTGTGAAGTGGCTTTCAGTTTGCAGAACCACCTCCCCACAGTTCTAGAGTGAAGAGAGGTTTCTCCTGCCATTACTATAGATTTGGTGAGGAAACATCCAAGATTCTCTCAAGCCAACCACATACTGTATACTCTCTTATGTGTGGTAATGATTTTGCAATTCCACATCCAATCCTCTTCTGTTCCAGCTGATTTCCAGACTTAAATCACCTGGTCAAGTTGGCCAAGTTCCCTGCCTGCCAAGAGCACTTCACTCATCCGCAGGTAAGTAGAGAGTTTTGCTGGAGGAGTATGGTTATTTGCCCGTCTTTGTGTCTGTGTCTGCCGCAGCTGCAATCTAGCTGAAGGTGCTCATGCCGATTCTTTGAGATTCAGTGGCCGACTTCTACATTACTAGTCTTTCCTGTAGGTGTGCACTTTTGGGCCTGTTTGAGGAGTGTACTTGGACACTCTTGCTGTTGCTCTTTATCCACTTTTTGTTTTTCTGTAGAGATAGTCCAGCGGGTGTTGGAAGGTGCATTTTGTTTAAAATCATTGTACAGTACCAGGTCTTTTCCATCTCTTCCCAGGGAAAACAGTTATGGGGTAGGTCTGTTTTAGCTCATGTATGTATGCCGGTTTCTCAGGTGAGTACAGTACTTACGACCTACTAGAAGGAGATCTTTGGCAGACTACTTACTGTCTTCTCGTCAGCCTTTATATAGTGGGACCCAGTGATAGCGTGGCTTCTCAGAAAGCTTAGGCTAATAAAGCTGGACTGCACAGGTGCTCTTCTAGGGGTTGAGTTTATCCCTTCCTCCTCCCATTGTCTTGCTTGGCAGTGCACAGAAATTTACTCCACACCCACATTTAGTAGATGGAAAAGGGTAGGGGGGAAAGGGGTGTTGGTTGGCTAATTGCTGTGACCCATACTTAAAGTAACCTGTACAGAGAGGAAATTTCCACCTGAGCTAGACATCTTTGGTCTTCCTTAACCCATTGGTTGTGGCACCCTTTGTAACATTAGTTCTCATATGAAACCGTTAGAAACAGTAAACATATAAAAAAAAAGCTTTCAATTCTAATAAAAGTATTGCCTTTTCAACTATACAATTAAAAATACAACAATTTATATAGTAAATAAATATATACTATTGGAAGAAGATATGGCACAAACACCAGGCCGTGTGTGATCCCAATATTGTATGCATATTGGGATCACTTGGTGTTACGGTTACCATATTTTGTATTGCTTTGTTTTTAACTAAAAATATTTTGGTATTTTAATTGTATAGATGAAAGAGCAAGTTTGTATGAAAAACATATATATACATATATATATATATATATACATATATATATATATATATATATATATATATATATATATATATATATATATATATATATATATATATATATATATTTTTGTTTCTAACCATGGTATAAAAATATATGGTGCAAACAAATGATCCAAAGAGTGCTGCAGTCAAAGGGCTAAAATATAATTCAGAGTTAAGGCCTTGACTATCTATGAAAGTTCATCTCTGCACAAGCCACTTTATAACAAAAAAAAAATCATTAGGCCCTCTACTCTACTATTGAAGTTAAAAGTTTTGGAGCCTACAAAGAACCTAATTCTTAACCACAAATTTGGAAAAGTAAATTTTTCATAAGTAGCATTGCAAAAATATTTTCAAGTATGACCAGGGAGGTTGAAAAATACCAATGTATTACTTCCATTGTCTAAAACTAGGTAATAAACCTAGTATTGTACCTGAACAGTAATTAACAGGTGTTTGCTGTACTACATGTGGTTAGTTCTATAATTTGCACGCAAGTCCAAAAATTTTTATTGCTCGAATACATGGCACATCAGAGTTGTTAACACATTCTTGATCAACTATTTAATCACAAGCAAAACAAACCATTAGTATTTCAAAGTAGTCTTTTACGAGTGCTGGGGTACAAATATTTGACCATTGTACTAGTTGAAAACCCATCTAAAACACAGTTATACTTAATATCCATTGTTTTAGTATTTCAATATATTGCACAAAAGTTAGATACTCTTAAGTATCCACCATCTTAAGAACATGTAGAAAATTATTACTTATTGTACAACCCTGTGAGTTTATGTAAAACCATTAAGGGACCAATTGCCCTTGCATGTTTAAAGATGTATGGTACTTCCATACTTTTTATCTCTGGTCATCTACATTTTGTACACTATTAATTGAGGCATCATGTCTGCCACAGTGCTGAGGAAATCTTGTTGGGCCTAATGTGATGGTGGAGGTTGTAGACGATGTTGATGTGTCAGTGGAACCTCTTGAGGCCATTGTCCCTCGTCCTGGACTATCATGGAGAATTTCCTTCCATCCTACTCTTTTAGTACTTGATGAATCTACTTTACAAATATCAGGCGTTACTGTAGACCACTTTGGTTCTTGGTAAGGAGCACCCAGAGATCCCATTTGTCCACTAATACTGTTATGTCTAGTGCAGTCTTTATCAATGGCTCTCGATCTGGCATAATACACGGGAAATTCATGTGCTTGTCCATACACAATTCTATGAGGCTCTGGTGTGTGAAGCTGAGGGCTACCATATAGACTATTCTGGCAACATATATCTGTCTGCATTTCAATAAAAGGTGGGTGAAGAGAGTGCGCATTGCTGGGAGTGTAGTTGTGGGCCGAGTGGGAGCGCTGGAGGGCATTGTACTGTGATGTCTTTAGGCAACTTCTACGAGGCTGAAGTGTAGCATATCCCATGGGAATATCTGAAAGATAGTTACTCGATTCACAATTTCATTATGATGGAAACATTACAACTTCCAAAATCTCAACTTATTTATTACTTGCTTACATGTCACGTCACCTCTGCAATTGTTTGATAAACTTTACCATGACATTAATTTACGATGATGACCAAACCACACGTCAGAAAATGATGAAGAAACGATGATGTTTTGTTCCATCCTGGACCATTCTCAAATTAGTTAATGGAAAGAGTGGAAGAGACATATATACAACAAAAGAAAGTGAGATGCATGATGAGGAGCAAGTAAGACTAAGAGAATCTTGTAAAGTTATAAATACGACAGAAAAGCAGGAAGGAAAAATAAAGAAAAAATGAGAGGCCAAATAGTGAAGAAGAAACCTAGAAATGTAAGGGAAAGAGGCTAAAGGGGGGCAGCTCAAGTCAAATTACGTTTGTTAAGAAGATTAGAGCATTTAAGTGTATACTGTGAAAGGGAAGAGTCAACTGTAACAGAGCCAGGACTAAGGTTCAGGTCAGGCATGTGTATCAGAGTCGATTCAATATAACGGCATCTGCGAAGCATAGAGGCAGGAAGGATTGTTTTAGACGACCAATCTATAGGATGATTACAGTCCCTAACATGACAAGAGAGAGCATTGAGTCTGCAGACTTAACACTTCTTTTGTGTAAATTAAGTTTGTCATTCATTGTACAGCAAGTTTCACCAAAGTATTGGAGAAGACAAGATGGACCGGAATAGACACGAGCAGCAATATGAGCCAGATTACTACGAAGTGTGTTAATTTGTTGAAAGGCAAGTTTTACATAGAGGACAAAGGGTATTAGTGTGATTTTTTAGTTCTGATATAAAGGGAAGGCAGTGTTAGAAACAGGTTTTGGATTTTAGAAATTTCTTTTAGCCTGAGAAAAAAGGCACAGTTGATAAAATAAAGGGTAACCAAGGCAAGATAGACTTATAAAAAGAATTTCAGATTCAGGAAACCGAAGGTCACTAATGCGTAGGGCCTGGAGAAAGAGAGACATAAGAATACTTTTCTTAACAGAAGGGGGGGTGGTAAGAGAAGTAGTAATGTACATACCACTCTGCAAAGGTTTGCAGTAAACAGAGAGAGAAACCAGAGACATACTTGCAAAAATGATCTTGGAGAGAATTAGATTCCTATTCAACTTTGACAGAATGGGTCAGATTGTTGAGAGAGGAGAGGAAAGACTAAAAAAGACTAGTCATTTGGCCAAAGAACAAAAATTTTCATTTAATGTGTTATAAAGAATATTTAAGAAGCTGTTTTGTGTACGTCATAGCAAGCAATAATTCTTAAATGGCTAATTCTAGAATTTGGTCCCATTTCACAATTGTAGATTCAGTACATCAGCTAAAACCTATAGTATTTACTACTGTTTAGTTTATTATATATAAATAACCTTGTACTTCTTAACATCAGTATAAACAAAGACAGTTCTTGCATTCACATTTTGAATGATAATGGCTGGAACAAAGTATTTATTCACCTGTTACTAATGACTGTCTGCAGTTGATGTCACAACATCCTGGGGTAGATGTTGAAAGCTGAGAAGGATTTAGACTCGAATGTAATGATGACACTTGCTTATGAGGTTGGCTTCCATTTGGGAATTGTGACTGTTGGCAATATGGCAAGGCTTGTTGATAATGCTTGTGTTGTTGTTCTAACTGCTGCTGAATGTGTGGCTGGCCATGGAATATAACTTGTGTGGTTTGCCTTGCCGGGTGACATGAAGCCAGGTTTGGGTGCGAGTGATCTGGCGAAAAACCATACGAGTCACTGCTCTGCTCAGATGATACAGATACTTGATCTTCTGAGTATGGTTTAAGTAATTCTTGCTTGTGGAGTGAAGAATGATGACTACTGGAGGTCATTGGGCATACATCAGGGTTATTTGAAGAATGGCCAGCTGCATTGATTTCTTTCACAATTTGATTTTCTCGCTTTGGAGGGCTACTGGAAGCAAGCAGACCATGTGTGTTTTGTGGAATTAATTCATTCTTTTCAGGAGGAATTCCATCATTCTGTACATTAATTCCTCCATTCAGTAAAGGACTTGAACTTTTTATTGATTGTGGTGTGGCATGTGGTTCTGGAGGTCTTCCAGTGATGGGTGTATTGACTACATCGGACTGATTGCTGCCGTCTGCTCTTGTTTTACACTCGATAGACTGAAAATTTAACATTCATTAATAGGGTTTTATAAAAGGAAATAAAGGTAAAATTAATGTATAGTGATGATCTTCATCCAGGTCTGTATAATGAAGTTCGTCCACAATGAACGTAGTTTGTACTGAAGATCATGTGTACTGAAAATATTGAATAATGAGAATCTTGTGGTGAAAATCATGTGAAAAAGATGAGAAAAGCTCTCTTGTGGTGCACTGTAAAGAAATTTGATCGTAGAACACCGTCAATCTCACCTTATATGGTGGAGGAGGGACATCACTCATTGAGGCAAGTGGCATCTCATCACCTTGGGCAGCACCTCCAAATGTTGGTGTGTAAGCATCTAAGGTAGTTGTCTTGCTTGAAGAAGCTAAGATAATTTAAGGCTTAATACATTGTGGGGAAAATATATACATTACTGATTTTTATGTAATATGGCAATGCATTGTAGCAAAAAAATATAAAAAATTTTGTACACCAGGATTAGAGCCTTCTTTTTTCATGGCTCATCTTAAGCTGTACCTCGTTAGTTTTCCCTGTAATATGACCCATAAATTTATTTACAACCCGGTCCCCAATTACTGCTAGGTGAACAGTCCCAGGAATGATGCCCAGTCGACCCTTCCTGCCATGGGCTCAAGGCTGGCCAAAACTGATGGCAAGCCTTCCATTTGATGATTATTATTATTATTACTGTAAGTATTATTATTTGATAATGGACGAGAACAGGACAGACTAAAATGTACTAGTGGTTATTTTTAATTTGTTCGAACTTTAATACTATATTGTGACGTTCATCATAATTATATAGGATAGATTATATGTTACTATACTTATAAATACCTTGCACTGATGTAATCAGATTTTTATATATACTGTACTTACCAGACCAAAGGGCCATTATTTAATTACAAAACTATTTTATGTCCTGAGTATTCAATTAACCTCTGTCTAATATTCTTTCAAATGATTGGGCACCATTCCTTCACTCTGTTCTCATATCCCAGTTCTTAGTCTGTTTCCTTATCAGTTCCGAGTGCTACATACACACACTTAGCATTTTTCTAATACAGTATTTATTTTACCTTACCTTCACTTCTCAGCGTATTGATCACTTTCTTGCATCCTCATTTATCCATGGCCTCAAATGACCTATTCTTGCATACTCACTTACCTGGAATTATATCCAGCCACATGTTACCATCATCATGCCTGTCAGTGCCAGCATTGTATGAACTTTGACTACTGGAGAGGCTTCTAAATTTTGTTTTTTTTTGGCCCAACTCTGCCAGCAACATTTGCTATCCCATGGAATATTAAAAGCTAATTTTAAATATTTTCCTTGAAGAGGACACAGTCACACTCATGTTACAGTATATGGCATACTGTATTTAAGGATAATTTTGTGTTGAAGACCAGCATTGAGCATACACAAACTCGAGGGAACCTTTCACTATTATTAAATCTGATAATACCTGACCTACCTGCCACTACCACTGTTGCTACACTATAATGTAATCATGCATTTCATAATTTTTGAAAGATATACTGTACTGTATTATACGTAAGAATAAAGTAATCACTCATACCTCGACTCACCCAGATATAAGGGCGAGTCCTTTGTGCTATGATGAAGAATCTATTGTTTTTCCCTGTCTAACTGTGAAGAGTGCACACTTGCAAGTCAATTCACACCACTATATCTTATTGGAATAAATATTGAAGCCATACAATGGAACTACATTCTTGAGATTTCATTGTGCACATCTTATATGGCATCAATGGCAGAAGTACATCATTTTCACCATCAAACCTAAATTTGAAGGTTGTAATCCATTTTTTACATTAATTTTCAATTTTGTTATCCTGAAAACAATTAAATTTGTATATATAAAAATATATAAGTTCCATGTTAACTGTAGGTAGTAACTGAGTGATTGTAACCTATCCACCGCTGCCCACTGGATGGGAGGCGGTGTGCAGGACAAACATATAAATTGTGACACTAGCTCTCCACATATGTTAGTTGCTTAATTTAGAACCTGTACTTGAGGTCGATCTCGAACCCATTGTTGATGTGACGACTTATACTGAATTTTGTAACTAGCTCATCAAGATTGTAACTTGCTTAGCTAAATGAATTGTGGGGGTTCAGTCCCTGAGCCCATTATGTGCCTCTGTAACCCTTTCCACTACCACCCACAAGATGGGTAGGGGGTGCATAATAAATGAACTAAACTAACATGTTGCAATCACACAGTCAGTCACCCCCTTCTCAGGCTCCACACAGCCATACATACCATTATCATTCATTCAGTGCTCAGTTACCCCTCTCAGGTCCCACACAGCCATACGTACCCGCAATACTCATCATAGGCAGTTGCGGGCACACCGCTTACGTCCGAGACCAGTCCTCCAAGTTCTGAATTACCTGATAAATTTCTTTTTATGGCTTGACGTTTGACAAAGCAAACAATTATCGAGATATTGAGAACAAGAAGGGCAGTTCCAGTAAGAGAGATGAGGAGCAGGATCAGGCGAGGAACCCGAGACTCCTGACCATCCACAGTACTGCCACTCACTACTTCTTCCATCATGCCTGAAAAAAAAAAATTATGTCACCCATAATATATGAGAATGTAAAATGGGGGAAAAATGAGTTAATGTAATAGATTAAGATACACGTTATTAGCACGTGGTACAACTTTACTCGTGTCCCTTCACTGATTAATATTTTTTTTTATTTATCATGATTTATTAGTTAAATTGTAGAATAAATGTACAGTACCTTTAAGTTGTGGAAAGTTGCTTCAAGATATTATTCTAGAGCTCCCACAGGTATATCTATATGGTGTGTTTAGGAGGTTCATGATTGGAGTCTGCCATGATAATAAATATCACCAGAACCACAGGTACTATAGTTTCCTTACAGAGATGCTATATAGTTTTGAAATCAATGGAAACACCCTCCATTCAGCCAAAAATAAAAAAAATAAATTCTGCCAACGCACTAGACTTCTACAGATTGCCAGTGATGTTACACTCTTAACCACCTATGGGAATTCTGGTTACCATCATCCAATCATATACCATGCTTGCCTTTAGACAACAGTACCTTTTATAACGAAAGGTACACACACATCCAGACTCAAGCAAATAGTGCATAAATTGAAAAAGGGAACTTGACTAAACAACGCACACACATTGTTTGCAAGACAGTGCTCCTGACCATCGGGTCGGTGAGAGTATAATACGGTACGTGAAAAAAGTACCTCTATTTAATTTTTGTTGCTGCTTTAAATTCTTCATACTGTACCAATAATCAGGTCAAAGTTCCTAACTCTAAAGGCCTCTAGGGTTTAGACTAGATTTAGGCTAGATTAGTACAGTATAGAGTAGAGGAGAGGGAGCATAATTAGACACTACCAGAAACCACAGTGTCAACCACTTTGTTGAGGTGTCCTGGACGAATGCCATCTATGCCATCACTTGCAGCCTGAAGTGAGGCCTCTTACTCCATCACTATTTGCCCCAAGGAAAATACTGCATTATGCGCTTCATAAAGTCATATGATTAGGTTATTAGTAACATTGTGGCTTTTGTTTCCTTACAGTAATAAATAGAGAAACCTGGATTTGAAAAAAACTCCTCTGAAATGAGTTTCAGAATTGTTGCAAAGCCGAGTAAAATCTAGCAAGAACTTCCTAATTTGACATCTGCACGAAGATATGACATCAAGAAGGGAGACCCTCCTTGCTCAATTAAACTAAGTCTTTACCCACCTACCAGGCATGGATACTGTTATGGCCGGTGAGCTGTAATCCGAGTTGCCTCTTTCATTGTAGGCCGAAATGGCAAAGGAATATTCAAAGCCAGGAGTTAGGCCCTTGATGGTGGTACTGGTCGAGTTGCTGCCAGGGACATCCACAAGCTGTGTGTGGATTAATATAAATGGAATAATGGTAATTCTGGTTAATAATGTAAATACTGTATCAGATATACCCAGTTTTGGATTGTATCTCTTGGTACTTACTTCATATTCAAGAGCACTTGAAGCTCGGTACATTATTCTGAAGCCCACAGGCTTGGCTCCGTGGTTGTCATTCCTCCATGTCACGACAGCAGTGTTGGTGGAGACGGTTGTCACCTGCACAGGAAATTGACAAGCAAGTTGAGAGGCAACCAATATTGGATCACAGTAAAATTGTTTAAATAATTTAACAAAAAATCTACACTAGCACCACCAGTGCATGCTTAATGTTACTGATAATTGATTATTAACATTGCTGACACCCAAATATTCACTGCTTACAAACAAGGATCTTGGAATACTGGGCACAAGAGGTGGACTGAGGCTGAAGGTAGTTGTGTAGGAGCCACGGGAGTTGTGAGAAGTGCAGCTGTAGTTTGTGTAGTCTAGTTTATTCACATCTCTGATCTCCAGTAGAGATGACCACTCCATCACTGTGTCCACCAACTGGTAAAATAAAGTAAGAAATTCAATGGGAGAAGGTAGTTTAGTGATCTCATTAAAGGACAATACGAATGTCTATTATGATAACAAATAATTAGAATAAATTTTGTTATAAAATATCACAATGCACAGCGAGAAATATTAATTTATTATTAATTTATCAATCCATCTAAATAGCTATCTTTACACATTTTCATGCAGTTTGTGCAAATAGGCAACTCAATTCTTCATTGAGCAAAATTAATAATTAATTTAAAAGCATAAAATCCTAACCAATAGATCCTTCTTGCTTGTCAAGCAAAAATCCCAACCAATAGATCCTTCTTGCTTGTCAACATTTTCAACGACTAACTTGTTCTGTGAAAATTGATTTAAAACTAAGCGGTATCTGACGTTGCTGACGTTAGCTCACTTTACCTTCACCTGCCGTCTCATGTTAGTGTCCACTATATGTTTCATTATGTTATATACATTCGTATTAACATTCATGAGACACACACACACTCACAAATTTGTTCATGCTGAGGTCAGTGTCTCAAATTCACCATTTATGTATTTACTGTATCACCACAATAATTATATACTGTACTGCATACATAATATGTATATCAAGTCATAAGAGGCTGGGGTTACATTTGCAAATTATGATTATAAATGGAACTGGCTTTATATGCAGTAATACATCGAATTACTAGACTTTATAGCTTTTTAACCCATTAGCATTTATCAGCATATAATAAAGTTTATCTGGTGATATTTTGAAAGTACTGTACTGTAATTTGTATTTTTATAACAATTGCAAAAGTTATTTTTTATTTATTATTTTATAAAATATCTTGGATATTATACATACTGGTCAAAGATTATATTATGGGTTAGAAAGCCATAAATGGTATTTATCCAATGTTTGTAACCAATAATTCCTATTATAATAATTTTTTCTATATGTAACCCCCCTCTCTTTGGCCGAATTTCATAGTGAAATTTGTTTCAACTAAATGACTGACAACTACAAAGAGATTTCAGATTTCAAGACTAAGAAATTTCAGCCTTATTACCAGAATTTCTTAAGATCTAACCCATTAAATGTTATTTTTTAAAAGTAGGGCGGGCCTAAAATGCTGTAAGTGAACCAGGCCCATCAACTTTCCTGCAGTGATCTAGCCTTGCATCCTGATGAAGAGGGCGAGTAGCTCTTGTCTGAAAAGTATGCGTTAAAAACTCTAGGTTCGCCAAAGCGAGGTTGTAATTTCCAGTACAAAATTAATCTAGAATTCTAGATTATTTAGCCCCATTGTATTCTAATAACTTTACTGCTCGACATAATTATGGCTCATATGAAAGAGATAAATTTAACCTGTGGTACGTGGATGGAATACTTTTTGTTGTTAGAGAGCACTAGGCCATCAGCAGTGGTCCATCTGAAGACTGGTGATGGTGCTGCCCAGACACGACAGTCCAGACGACCTGTCTGTCCTATGGCAGCCCGGGACCCGAACACTGCCACGCCTGTGTCATCAGCCACTGCTGCTGGGGCTTCTGTTGCACCATAATGAAATACAGTACAATTAAGATAATTGGTGAGGTAAGCTTTCAAGTAACTACAGTATTGTTTTCAGCAACCAACATGAAAGTTTTGAATCGTGTGTTATTTTAGGTGTTTTTCTCTTTTTAGTTACTAATCATACATGAAATATGCATTTTAAATGGAATAATACAGTAGAGAACCTTTTGGAATTCATACTGCTATTATTATATTAAGCATATGCTACATCACAGAGTGGGGAGGTGTTTAGTTTAGTTCACTTATTATGCACCTGCACACCCCACCCCACCCCCCATCCAGTGGGCAGCAGTGGATAGGTTAAAATCACTTAGTTATTACCTACAGTTAGCAAACTGGGGATATTTGGTTAAGATTTCTGGTAGCAAATCATTTTGAATTAAATATTTACACATCTTTGGAATATTTTTTATAGAATTGTCTCTGAATTAATGTATCTTTTTGCATTCCATCACATAGTGACAGAGGGTGTGCGAATAATTTTGTTGACACAGTTTACATTTGGTCAGGTCTACATCAGCAGATAATGAGAATTCCCAGAGATACTTGTAACCGAGTCTAAGCCAAGTAGTAGTAACATCTAGAAGTCTGCTGATTTTATTGGATGATCCATAGATGTGTGGCTCCTGTTGCATGATAGTATTATGATACATGGAATTACTGGTGTTGATTTCACTTTGCCTCAGAGCTACAAGATTTTGATGAAGTTCTTAAAGTGTACTATTGCTCATTATAACTTTCATGAATGCTGTGTATGGGAGAGTGGTTGGTAAGGTGGTGCGTGCATGTGCTGATTGGTAGCTGATCTTCAGCTCTCTGCTTCCACCTCTCAAACTTCAGTTATCTAATGTAGAGTTTCTCCAGATTTGGGCTCTGTTATACCTATATAACAGAGCTGTATGCATGTAGTCTGCTTCCCCTTTTTCATGTTTTAACATTCTGACACTGGCAAAATATTTACAATGTATGTATGTATGTACTCACCTAATTGTACTTACCTAATTATGCTTGCGGGGGTTGAGCTCTGGCTCTTTGGTCCCGCCTCTCAACTGTTAATCAACAGGTGTACAGGTTCTTGAGCCTATTGGGCTCTATCATATCTACACTTGAAACCGTCTATGGAGTCAGCCTCCACCACATCACTTCCTAATTCATTCCATTTGTCAACCACTCTGACACTAAAAAAAGTTCTTTCTAATATCTCTGTGACTCAGAGATATTTAATAATGTATGTATGTACTGTATGTATATATGTATGTAGCTATATGTATGTAGTCTGCTCCCCCTTTTTAATTTTTTAACATTCTGACACTGGCAAAATATTTACAATGTTTCAGCTCATTTTCATGTATGTATTTGGGTACTTGGTTTCCACCTCTCCTATTGTTCGTGTACAATAATAGGAGTACACGAACTTCTATTGGTTAAACAGTCTTGGTCTGTCATGTTTATTCCTTGAGAATTTTGTATGTGATAATCGTTTAATGTTTGTAATACTGTACCTAAATAATCCATGTGAACATTTGTGTCGTGATTTTTGTTCACATTCAGGCATGTGAGTACGTACAGTATAAGTGTTTCTGTGTGACTAGCTTGCAAGTTGGCAACCAGATACGGGTTCCAATGACTTACAGCTTCAGAGAACACTTTCTAATGACAAATTTTTTTTTTTTTTTTCAATGGTTTTTCCCCAAGGCAAAAGGATATTTTGGTTATTTCTGATTTAATAGTTTATGTAGATTTTGAAAAGACATTACAATAATTACAATTCATGAAAAATTGCAGCACATGACTACTGTTTTTGAGCCAATATTACATTAAATAAAATGGAGTGTTTAATGGGACTCAAAGTGATTTGAAATGTAATTAAAATAAGATTTAATAATTTTTGTTGGTTCAGAAGCACATGTACCTGCAGTTTTCTAATTACTTTACTTATACTTCATCCACTCACTAAGATTCCTCAAGTACACAAACAAAATGCCCGAACCATCTTGCCCAAAACGCTGTGGGTACTAGTGGCTTTAAGCATAGTATATACTAGCTCAACCTAGAAATCCAACATTCTGTTTGTAACTCATTTTGTATGTACCGCATGTACTTTTATATGAATAAAAATTATTATTATTATTATTATTATTATTATATTGTATAGCTAGTTCTTGGCAAACTCAAAACTCTTCATATACAGTAGTTGTCACATAACTGTAGTCAAATGCTGATGTACTAATGTATGTATATATAAAAAAAAAAAAAAACTCACGTGTGACAACAACAGCAGTGAAGACTGGAGGCGGAGAGGACACAATGTTGGAAGCAGAGCACATGTAGATGCCTGTATCTTCCCTGGATGCCCACTCCACCACTAAGCGAGCCTCCCCCTCGCCCGTGGCAAGTAAAGTCACCGAACTGTGGTTGAAACAACCATGATATAAGTACAGTACTGTATGCAGATGAAGAGTCACAATAACGTGGCTGAAAAATGTTGACCAAACCACACACTAGAATACAGTACTGTATTTGGATTAAAGTCTATAGGGTGTTGTACTACAAGAATTTATTATAAATCATTATTACTGACCTTGTACAATGCTGGTTACATAATCCTAGTTCATTTAGGATAATGTAATACCACATTATTAAGGAAGTTACTAATGTATAACAATTAAAGCACAAAGTGGCTTAAGTTAGTGTATGCCAACTTGCAAGTGCAGCAGGTTTAAGAAATGTATTCTTAAACCTAACTTTTATCAAACCAAAAAGAGCATTCTGTAATCTAACATAATACTATCCATCCCAGACCATAATATATCCCTGGGCTGCAGGGACGTTGAGCCCCAAAATCATCACAAGGTATCCAAATGACCTGAGGTTGTCTTGAAAAATAGAAACAGTAAATTGTAAATGGGGAGACTTGACTAGATAATCATCTTTATAATACATGTGTTGTTGAATTGCAGGCAATGCCAAGACTATAGGAAGTGTGCACCCTATCAATCACTCCCATGAATTTAAATAAAGTTTCTATAAATTCCATAAGAGAACAAATTGAGTGAACTGGCAGAAATTACAATTACAGGTACTGGTCTTATGTGCTAGTTGTGCCACTTTGGTTAGGAATGACATCATATATGCAGGTTTCCTCACCCAGGCCAGCACCATCATTTCTCATATACAGTACAATATATTATTTTATTAGCAAGCTAAGGGCTACAGTAGATGTGTGCTGCTCCCTATTTTATAGGAGGGATTATAGAGTATGAGTTCACCTAATATCCTCATCTTGGATGGCCATGCATGGGATGCAAGTCTAGTTTTACTAGTCTGGGGTTCTTGTCTACAGCTGATCCTGGCAGTTTGCCGTTGTGTCTTATCAGGAGGTCCCCCAGTCCAAGCAAAAGCAACCCACCTGGTGTTGTCATCGTCCTTAGTCCAGGTAATGTTAGGAGCAGGATTGCCGGTAGCAGAGCACAGTATGGTGGCAACCCCGTCCTCGTCTACCACCACTCGCTCTGCTGCCAACACATCCTCTGGTCCGTCTGTTGACCACACCTATTCTTAGTCAATATCAATAGTCTCAGACAATTGTCACAAATTCTAGGCAGAATTATCAACAGCTACGTTGCATTTTGCATTTCATTTATAAACACAATAAATCAAGCACTGTGCAGTTTAGCAGATGATTCAAGAGTTATAACTAGCTAATACTATTGGTACAAGTGCCAGGATGAACAACCCAGCAGGCGGTCCGTCTAATTACCACAAGCTACACAAGCTTCAGAAAGCTTCAGAAAGCTTATGTTAGTAATGAATAAATATGATATATTTACTCATTATAATGTTGGTGCTGAATGTACAACACGAGAAAACATAATTTTAATCTGAAAAAGTATATTTTTATTAAGAAATTAGACGAAAATAAAGAGCTGGTGACGCCAAATAAAGTCGACGATCCAAGCGTCGGTTAGGTTAGGTTTGGTTTGGTTAAGTTAAGTTAGGTTAGGTTAGGTTAGGTCAGCCTAACCTATCATAATTATTCATTACTAACGTATTGCCAGGAAGCTTTGTGAAGCTTGTGTAGCTTGTGGTAATTAGACGGACCCCCCAGCAGGTTTTCTTCCTATTGGGGTGTGTTGTACATGCTGCTATGGCGGTATGTCCACTCACAAGATGAGTGGCGCTGCCCAATAAACTCGCCCCTCGGGGCAAAATTTAAAAACAAAAATACTATTGCTATATATAAACATTGAAGTTGAAAATGAAATACAGTATTTGAAGACAGACACAAGACGTTGATGGTGAAGGAGGAGTTGATAGCCGAGTGGTCATCGCTGGCTACCACAGTGTAGTTGCCGGCTATCTGACGGTGTACCCTGGGAAGGAGCAGTTCTCCTCCACCGTCGTGGTCAGGTCCTCCAACCGTTCCAGGTCCCCTCCACCACCTGTACCTGTCCGCACCATGTCATAAACCTCATCAACTAGACACGAAGTTAAAGGCAAAGTCATACCTGCCATGCACACATTAATATGTTAGAGCTATATTGAGGTCACCTCAAGATCGAACTACTGATCCTCGCTAAGATGCAACCTCACAACAGTTGCCTAACTCCCATGCATCTATTTACCGTTAGTGAACAGAGTCCATCAGGCGAAAGGAAACTTGCCCAACATTTTTGTCCCACCTGACGACTGAACCCCGTACTACCGAGACCTTATACATACTGTCTACTCAAGTGTTCTTGTACATAGTGCACCTCAAAATCTACTCATTGTAGCTTACTGCAGTCTACTTAGAACTGGTCTGTATAAAACATTCTTTGCCATGAGAATAAGCACGCTATTTTCAAAACTGATGACAAACAGCAGGCAGGTGAATACATACAGACATAAGATATAGCTAAAATACCACATGGGGTAAACTTAAACAGATATTTATATTTTAACACTTTCCAGATTACAATTTACCTTCATCATGGGCTTGTGTTTGTTTGTGGGTTACTTTTGCATTAGTATTTGACGTGAAGGGAGGACATACCTCACGGGTCCGGGGTTGGCGATGGCATGGGCTCTCAGGGTGAGGTTCCTCCCTTCTTCAATGTCTATAACCCCAAACGGCGCAGACAACCACACCACCCCGTCTGTGGACAGGGAAGTGCATGGTCAGCACGCAGGGGTTGGTGTACCTGAGAAACACCAGGCTACATCAAGCTCATGTACCTGGGTAACAGCAGGCTACATAAGGCTGGTGTACCAGGGTAACAGCAGCCTACATAAGGCTGGTGTACCGGGGTAACAGCAGGCTACATAAGGCTGGTGTACCTGGGTAACAGCAGGCTACATAAGGCTGGTGTACCGGGGTAACAGCAGGCTACATAAGGCTGGTGTACCGGGGTAACAGCAGGCTACATAAGGCTGGTGTACCTGGGTAACAGCAGGCTACATAAGGCTGGTGTACCGGGGTAACAGCAGGCTACATAAGGCTGGTGTACCAGGGTAACAGCAGCCTACATAAGGCTGGTGTACCGGGGTAACAGCAGGCTACATAAGGCTGGTGTACCTGGGTAACAGCAGGCTACATAAGGCTGGTGTACCGGGGTAACAGCAGGCTACATAAGGCTGGTGTACCGGGGTAACAGCAGGCTACATAAGGCTGGTGTACCGGGGTAACAGCAGGCTACATAAGGCTGGTGTACCGGGGTAACAGCAGGCTACATAAGGCTGGTGTACCGGGGTAACAGCAGCCTACATAAGGCTGGTGTACTGGGGTAACAGCAGGCTACATAAGGCTGGTGTACCGGGGTAACAGCAGCCTACATAAGGCTGGTGTACCGGGGTAACAGCAGGCTACATAAGGCTGGTGTACCGGGGTAACAGCAGCCTACATAAGGCTGGTGTACCGGGGTAACAGCAGGCTACATAAGGCTGGTGTACCGGGGTAACAGCAGGCTACATAAGGCTGGTGTACCTGGGTAACAGCAGGCTACATAAGGCTGGTGTACTTGGACAACGAGAGTAATACTTAACGGGAATTGATACAAAAAATAAACATATAAATAAGAAAAACAGGAATAATAGCGGGAAGAGCCAAAAATGAGTAAATAAATTAACCGGAAGAGCAAGATGAGGAGCTGATGAAGTAACAATGAGTTGAGAATACAACAGGATGAGCAGAGTAACCAAAGGAATAACGAAGAGGGCAACAAGAAGCTCTGGATAAGCATCAAAAGGGGTTTCGAAAAGCTAGACATAAACAGCTTTAGAGTGCAAAATAATGAGCTTTCGCCATAAAGCAATCGGAGCCAAGAAACCACCTGAAGGAGCAGAGAATGCAGCGAAAGGAATCAAAATAATGAAAGGACTCAAAGAACAAAATGTGCCAAAGGTGAGAAAGGAGGCAAAGGTGAGCAACAGGACTTGAGAAAGTGACACAGACGCAGGACGTTGAGGGTGATGTTGGTGGCTACGGCGGCCCCCAGACCGTTGTCCGCCTCGCAGCCGACGGCTCGACCGTTGTCCGCAGCTGTCACTCGAAGTCTCACCTCAGACCTGACAACACACACAGAAAAATTACAATTGAAATTGAAATAAGTTTATTGAGGTAAAATACACAGAAAGGGATGAGGTAGCTCAAGCTATTCTCACCCCGTTCAGTACATCGTGTTAATGCGTACATATAAACACATCACAAACAATAAACATATTACCAAACATTCTGAGAGACAAACATCTACATTTCCTAAATTGCAATTAAAATAGGCTAAATCAAACAGGGCTTTGAAGGGGATAAGCAAGTTCAATGATATCCGAGGCAAAATGATTTTAATTACTTACTTTGTTTAATGTACTTACTTTGTACTTTTAATTACTTACTTTAATTACTTTTAATGATAAAGAAAAACTATAAATTAAAATTAGTAGGGCAAACTGATATATTATTAACAACCCGCGAGGGAATAATAATAATAATAATAATAATAATAATTTTTATTTAGGCAAAGGTACATACATAAAGAGATTTTACAAAGTTTGTTGGCTTTATAGATAAGAGCTAGTACATACAATGCCTAAAGCCACTATTACGCAAAGCGTTTCGGGCAGGAAAAAACACTAATGGCTTAAAACTAATGGGTAAAAAGAAAAAAATGCGTTGAGTACAAATAAAAATAGAGGTAAAGAAAAAAAAGAGGACATTAACGCGTCTTTTTCCATGAACCTTACCCCATTAGTTAATGGTCATTGCCAATTCAGATCGAGTACATGATATAGAGGGACCGCTATACCCTTTACGCTAGGCTGCATATCAAGCGAGGCCTCTTGTATTTACACTAGTTATTTTGGATAGATATCTCGCCTAGGGGGGAGGGGGGGGAGTAGAAATAGCCTAAGCTACTCTATCCCTTTGAGATGTATTTTTTTTTCTTGTCTCAATAAACATACTTGAACTTGATCTCGCTAAGTCTTTCTGTGAACCCAAATTTATGAAGTCTGCAAGAGATTTTTCATTCTAACTCTTTTATTTAACTTTATAACCTCCCCGAGTCGTTATGCGTGTTGGTGAATATGCAAGAATGTATCATCTTATCACCGCAAGTACCTTTACAGCCCATTGTACCTTGTATATAATACAATAAATGTCATCCCAATGTACAAGAAGGGAAACAGACAGGAGCCACTAAAGACCAGTGTCCTTAACAAGCATACTATGCAAAGTAATATCAATCACTCGCCACGTTAGAGAAAAAAAAAGCGAATCATGGGGGACATGATAACAACGTACAAGATATTAAAGGAACTGAGAAGGTAGACAAAGTAGCAATGTTCGAAATGAGAAACGGTAAGACCAGAGAACAGGGAGAAAGCTGGAGATACAACAGGAAAAACTTTAGTGTACGGGTCGTAAGTAAATGGAACAGCTCTTCCAGAGATCGTCGAGGCAAATTCACTCAGCAGCTTCAAAAGAAAATACAATGAGAAACAGAAGGAATGAAAGTCATTGTATTAACTGGCCAGGAGATGGAAAGACGGGACTTTTGAAGCTAAAAATGTGATAAAACATCTCGCCTCATCCCTTCCTCATTCACACACTTAACTCACTCTGTGTATTTACTATTTGTGTCTGCAGAATCAAGCTATTAGCTATTGGGCCCCGCCCTTCTAACCGATCTATTTTTTCCTCTATTATAACTACTACATATATTTCTCTCAAACACACACAAAACGTACACGTGTGTGTGTGTGTGTGAGAGAGAGAGAGAGAGAAACCTATATGGAACTGCCCGACATTGCTGCAATAGAGAATTCAGCTGAAAACAAAACAAACAAAAAAATTCACCAGAAAAACAAAGTGGGGAGACCTTTGACAAGCCGCCGACTTCGTGTCCCTATCAAGACCACTAGCAAGAGATGGTGGGCCCCCCCCTCTGGTAAATGTACTTTATTGCCTTTTAAAATATTACACAGTGGAGTGGCAAAGTTAAGTTTCTCACGTAGTTTCTATAATTACCAGCGAGTGTTCTCGGCTGAGTCGGACACCCGGCGCTCATCGCTCTTAAAGCAGATGGACTGGAAACCTCCCACGCAAGAAGTTACCCGGATAACCCCTCCACAAGATCCCCAAGATAAACTTGACCACAAATTACAGCAAGATCGTCAGGAAATTTCGAATCCAAACACGCATACGCATAATTTTTCTGGTTGAGAAACCCAATCTGGCACCCCATTTGACCCACAGATAAATAAAATAAAATAATAAAATGTTTATTTAGGTAAGGTACATACATACAAGAAATTTTTACAAAGATTGGTTGACTTATAGGTAGAGCTAGTACATACAATGCCTAAAGCCACTATTACGCAAAGCGTTTCGGGCAGAGATATGGTCAAAGTTCTTGTACTAGACAATAGAACTAGAGGGACATTATGCATAGTCAGTTTACTGATTGGAGACGGTCGTTGAGGTCTAGTTCTTGAGCCCGCTCTCCATACATATATACATTAACCTGTGCAACTAGTTTATCAGGCTAACTTGCTTAGACAAATGAATTTTGTCTATGGACAACATGAACTGAAGGATTGATGAAGATTAAGCCACCCAAGAGGTGGCACGGGCATGAATAGCCCGTAACAAAAATGAACTTGGAATTCAATATTAAATGGTGGTCCGAGGTGAGGTGTGCGGCTTGGGAGTACCCAAGTCCAGGGTTCGAGTCCTCGCATTGCTCAAACTGATTTTCTCTTATATAATAATTATTACTGTTATATTTATTTAATCCACGGCATTTTCTTATATTTAATTCAGTGCTACTAAACCATTGCAGAGGCATATTTTGCGTAAAAAAAAATGTATTAACTTTTACACGAGCGCTGCTTTCCTCCCTCTCTCCCAGCTGCTTTAAGCTCTGGTAAACGCTTTTGGGGCGGCTCTGTTTACCGCCCTCCTTGTTCCTGAGGGCTGAAGAAAACTTATGATTGCTTGGGAACCTCTGCTGAAGCAGGTCAGATCTTTGTCCGTGTGTCCTGCGGGAGATTCAGACGGGAAAATATTTCCTGCGTTTTACCAACGGAATTTGGAGGCAAGGAGATATATTTCCTCCAATATTTTACCCAGGGGGGCTTAGGGCAGCCAGGGGAGATATTTTCTGGAGTACCCCCTGGTCTATGTTTTGTAGCGAGCCATTCCAAGTGACACTTCAACACACACCCGTCCCCCCAAAACCCCCCCTCCCCTTCCACACAGATGAAGTTCTATACCCACATCTATGAACTTGTGGGAGTGACTGGCTTGACGGTGCCCTTAATCTACCTGATGATAGTGCCTCATCTTACCTGGTGACGGTGCCTCCATAGAGCCCCTGGGAGTGAGTGACGGTGGGGCGATCCAGGGTACTCAGGGGGGAGTGCCAGGTGACGGTGGAGGGCGGGACACTGGAGGTCGTCTCGCAGGTGAGGGAGACGACCTGTCCCGCCTCGACCCTGCTGGGGCTCACCCACCCAGACACCTCCCACGCTGAGACTGTTGGGAGAGAAACCATCGTACACACGCCGGGTCAGGGAGAGGAAGTGAGGCGGGCGAGATCACTCATAACCTGCGTTTTTTAGCGGACTGGTAAATTCCGTAAAGAATGCGACGTATTAGGCGAGGAGAGGCGCGTTACTTGCAGAGACGGGGGCAGTTAGCCAGTCGCTCAAATGACACTTCTAACTTGCATCTTCACGATATATAGTTTAATGAGAAAGAAGCTTAGTAAGGTATATTATGCCTCATGTTCCTGCCTTGCTCCGGTGACACACTCCTTGGTGGGTGTGATCACTCACTCACTCACTCACTCACATCCCTAACCTCACAATACCAAGTTGTCTCGCTGGAGGACGACCTAACAGACCTTCAAAACACGAAGCTTACCAACACGTGATGTGATCTTGTGAGCATGGCGGTGGGATCCAGCGAGAGTGCCGGGGCGTGAGCAACAAGCTTGCCTCAACTAATGCGCAATAATGATTTGTCGGCAAACTGCATCATTGGTAACTATTTTGAACATTGAAGAATTATATCATGTTTTATACTTCAATAGATTTACACAATTATTGCATAAATGTAATTATCACTTGATGTAATTTACGAGAGAGAGAGAGAGAAAACTTTTCGGCTGAAAAGGACTATATTAAATTATTCATTGTTAATAATTCAGGTCAGTTTGACGAATAAATCAACATAATGAATAATAAATCCCATCATTCAGATTTACCAGAAAACGTGGCAAGTGGTGTGCCAGTTTTTTTGATAATGTGGCACTACCACCGACACAAATGTAGTCGACCGTGTTAATTATAATATTAACTAGGCTATGTCACCGTGAAGTCATTAACACAACTAATGGAATAACATAATCACAGTGAATACTAATTTTGTAGGTGGGGTGCAGGGAGTATGGGTCTCGCGCCTCTTGAATGCGAAGTCATTTTCACGAGAATTCGATCCTCCTGCCTGGCCTCGGGACCAGACGCACTCACCAGCTCTTTGGGCACTTGGAAAAATTATTTCCAAATTAAATTTTACGAACTTTGTTCGGCAGTTTCCACCATCTTGCACCAATGTTTATAGAGGGCGTTATACTCACGCGTGTCGCAGTAATATGGCGGGAGTACACAAGAACAAAGGCGAGCTTGCATGGCCCAAACACACCTGCTGTTTTTCCCAGTCTTCTTACGTGCATGTTGCACGCCTGTTGCGTATACGTGAAGCTGCCAGTTGCTGCAGGTGACAAGTGGACCGACATGTCAAACACAACTCGAATCCGACTCTCGGCTCCGAAGCTGGGTACCCCAACCCGCGCCACGGCTTATTTGAAGCCTTGCTCCACCACCACAACAGTCTGCTCACATCGACTCAACAGCTCTCTACTAGTCGCCAGAGAGCTCACTACCACACACCTGAGAGCCCCACTACCACACACCTGTGAGCCCACTACCACACACCTGTGAGCCCACTACCACACACCTGGGAGCCCACTACCACACACCTGTGAACCCACTACCACACACCTGGGAGCCCACTACCACACACCAGGGGAACCCTCTACCACACACCTGGGAGCCCCCACTACCACACACCTGTGAATTCACTCACCAAACTTAAACTATACATTTTTTCATGCGTCGTTCTCTACTGTCTTGTCTGCATTCATTAGCGTGAAAGTTCGTTAGCTAATTGGCAGGCGAGCCATGGATCCCAGTGTGGGTGGGGGAGTCATAAAGAAGCCTTTATAAAGGTCTCTATAGGAAAAACTCCCACTCCCAGGAGTGACTTCACGACTCAGCTCAAGGCAAACATTCCCGACCCTATACCCTGTATATACTTCCTATATACTATAAGAAGTATATACAGAGGGTATATATACTTCCACACACATCAGAAAATGAAGAAATTAGGACGTTTCCTCAGAAAAAGCTGCATATATAAGAGGTTCGAACACCTAGATAATTAGTAAGGGGGCCCGGGTCACACTTGAAAAATTAAGGTTTGCATACTGTACATTATCATCAACTTTAGTGGAATGTATAATATATGGCTTAATATATTATACATGCAGTCGATTAAGGCAGTGTCTGGGATGCTCCCGGACGCAGGTTCGAATCCTCGTCACGGCCCTTGTGGATTTGTTCATGGCTTAATAATTAAGGTTGAGAGGAGTTCAAGGATGAAGAAGAGGCAAGGAAGGACTTACAGCGGAGGGCGATGGTGGTGTGGGCGACCATGGGGGTGCTGGTGGCCGCGTTGGACACCTCGCAGGTGAGCTGGCGGCCGTTGTCCGACGGGACGAGGTGTAGCGTGGCCCTGGCCTCCGTCACCCCCTCCTCCACCTGCTCCAGCCTCGACGCCACCTTCTGCCCACCCTTGTACAGCCTGCGCAGGCACGAGAGCAACGCTGTGGACACCTCACTAACACATGCTATATATATATATATATATATATATATATATATATATATATATATATATATATATATATATATATATATATATATATATATAGCATATATATATATATATATATGTATATATATATATATATATATATATTATATATATATATACATGCTATATACATATATATATATATATATATATATATATATATATATATATATATATATATATATATATATATATATATACATGGAATTCGCAGTAAACAAAAAAATTACGGGCTCACCATAGCCTGTGCTACATGGACACTTCGTTCTGAGTAGCTAAATGTGTAACAACAGTAAACAAATGTTTCTGTGTTGCAACTATTTTTCTTCTTGTATCTACTGATGCCATGACGCAAAATGTTAACATATTATTATAAAATAAATATCAGAGACAAGAAGGTGTAGAGGTGAGGTAGGGAAAGTGTAGAGGTGAGGTAGGGAAACTGGTGAGGCGAGGAGACAATGACAACAAATACAGGAGAACATAGAGGAAGGAGGAACGATATAAAGTGTGTGTGAGACGATAAATAAGAACAAAGGGGGAAAAAGGAAATTATCCAATTAATTAAAGAAAAAGTCCATAAAAGACATGAGGACATGGACACGAAGAGGGTTGATGAGGAATACCCACGTGAGGACTGGAGGAGGGTTGCCGCCTCTGGAGGTACAGAGGACACCCAGCTGGTCGCCGGCCACCACCTCCTGCCCCTCCGTCACCAGCACCTCCACCACCGGCCACCCGGGTCGCTCTGACCAGGAAACACACACAAACATTAGCCATAGACACTCCCACACACACACACACACATCACGCGTGTAACTCACACAAGGTTGGGCCACCTCGCCAGTTATAAACACCGGATAATAGTCACTAAATATGCTAATCTTGGACTCTATAGGCACACCTGCTCACCCAGCAAACACAGAACGTTTTTTAATGGTGCCACAAAGGTAATTTTGTAACTTTTAAGATAAATACGTATTTCTGACGTCCTTAAAACCATTAGATATAACTAAAAACATATACTCTTGATCAGATTTATTGGAAGCTATAGTTTTTTAATTTTGCCCCGAGGGGCGAGTTTATTGGGCAGCGCCACTCATCTTGTGAGTGAACATACCGCCATAGCAGAATGTACAACACTCCCCAATAGGAAGAAAACCCGCTGGGTTGTTCATCCTGTCACTTGTACCCAGACACAGCTGGGACTTGCTTAACTGTCTCAAGTGAACAGCTCCTCAAACAAGAAGATTAACATTTATCAACCCTTAAAAGCTTACGTTATCTTGCGGGTGCAAAATTGGGAAATCTTTTAAGAACAGTATCAACATTTGACAAAAAGTGTTTTCCTAACTCAAACAATGTGGGGTTTATTATTCTACAGTTATTCCTAATATCTCTCAGGTGTTCACATTCACGTAGATAGTGGTCAAGGCGGTGTCCATCACTCTCACCACAGATGCTGCAACTTCGCTGATCAACTGTTGTTTCCATTCCAAATCTCCATGGATATTTGTATCCAAGACGGATTCTCGCTATTACAGATTCTCTCCCTCGTCGTCCTCCTCTTCGGCCATACTGATTGGGATTGCCAGCTGCAACCATGTTGTACCATCGTACAGATTCACTGGTTTGTGCTTCTATCCTCCTTTCCTCAGTTACCTTGTCACGGTGATGTTGCCTGATAATACCTCTAATTTGTAGTTGAGTCTTGGGTATGAAGTATTCAATATGGTCTCCTTCAGCGCCTTCAGCAGCCAGCACATCTGCTCGTTCATTCCCACATATTCCAACATGGGAGGGGATCCACAGAAACTTGATGACTCTTCCCTGGTTGGTAAGTACTCTCACAGCTCTCTTGATTTCAGCGACTATTGCAAGATTTTCTGTCTGATTTTTACTTAGGCTTTGCAGTGCTGCTTTTGAATCGGTGCAAATCACTGCACCATTAGTGTTCCGTTCAAGAAACCTTAACGCCATAACAATGGCAGTTAGCTCTGCTTGCGTTGAAGAGGCATAGTTCTCAATACGTGCTTTGTCTTCATTTCTGCGTTGGAAGGTATTATCCTTGATTACCGTGTATGCTGCACCAGCCCTGCCATTGATAGGATTAGATGACCCGTCAGTGTAGATTTGATCTAATTCATCTCCGGCTTCTTTATAAATGTCCTCGAGATACTTGTGCCTCATTTCTTGTGGTATCATGTTGGATTTTTTCATTGCCATTTCATTGATGATGATCTTGCACGAGTCATCCTCCCAGGGAGGTAACCTCTCTACAGGCAGGAGCTCACGGGCTTGCTCAAGCAGGTGAAGCTCTTCAAGGTAGCAGACTGCTCTGTGATGCCATTTTTTGCTTCTCCTGTTTCCCCCTGAAAGTAGCACAGAGCTCAGTTTTTTCTTGGCAATATCATTGTAATGGGGATCTCTGGCTATCTTAATTGCAAGCTTAGCATTCAGCTCCTGAATTCTGCTTTTAATACTGGGAAGGGACAACTCCTCTCGTAGATTAGACGTTTTGGCAGTTCTTGGGACTCCAAGAATGATTGTCATGGCTTCATTTTGAATGCTTTCAAGCCTTTTCATATCGCTTTGGGAGTAGGTGCACAGTACTGGTGCGGCATAGTCTATGACGGAGCGCACATAGGCTGTGTACATCATTTTGAGCACGGCAATAGAGGCTCCATGTCCATTCCAGGTCATAGCTTTCAGTGCCCTGAGTCGACTTTTGCATGTTCCTATGAGTTGGTTGAGCTCCTCTTTCTTTCCCTTGTTAGAGCCGACAGTGACGCCAAGGTACCGATAGTGGTCAACCCATTCAAGTGTTACACCATTAATTTGCAGTTCTTCATTTGCTCTCCGCTTGTGATGGGAGTATGCCTTCGTCTTGTTTGTGGAGAGAGTGAAACCGAGCTCAATACATTTCCTTCCGAGGAGTTCAATGGACTGTTCAATTTTTCCCAAGGTGGGAGCTTGTATTAGGACATCATCTGCATATCCCACTTGTTGTGTTCCTTCCGGAAAATCAATATTTGCAATGGCGTTCATAAGTACATTGAATAGTGTAGGGCTTAAGACTCCGCCTTGGGGGGTCCCGAGTTCCATATTCATTGTTCTGGAGACTGCTCCATTGAAGCAAACCTTGGCTTTCCTTCCTGTGAGGTAGTCTTCAACCCATTTCATGAGTCTCCCCTTGACACCCATGCATGCAAGCTCGTCCAGGATCGCAATCCCCTGTGCTTTGTCGAAGGCTCCTTTGATGTCAACAAATACAGAGTACCTAGCCGTGTCATTAGCCAAGTAATTAACTATACAATTTGCTGTGCTCCGTCCTTTAACAAATCCATTGACCCCCTCCCCTAACCTGCCTATTTTGTGCAACAGTCGGTTTAGGATGATCCTTTCAAGCATCTTGCAAGTGCATGACACGAGGCTGATAGGTCTGTAATTACCAGGGTCATTAGGCTTCGGTATGGGAATAATTATTGCGTGTTTCCATTGTGTGGGCAACACTCCACTTAGGAATGACTTGTTAAACAGGTGGAGTAGTGGATTCCCAGACACTTCACACAGTGCATTGAGTATGTCGTAGGTGACGCCATCTTCACCAGGTGCTGTACTTTTACCCTTTTTCATAGCGCCCCTTACTTCTTGGGCTGTGATTGGTTCCCCATATTCGTCATCACTAGACAGTGCTCTTGTTATCCTAATTCTTCTGTCATCATGTCGCAGGAGCTGTTCCCTGCTGATTTCTGCAGGGAGGGAGGAGGAGGATGCTGCATCACTCCACTTGTGAATTAGTTCCTCAGCCTTACCCTGGGGGTCTTTGTGAGCCGCAGGCCGGGCTCTGCCCCCCTTAGCTATCTGAATTTTTGCCCACACTTGTCTTGCAGATGTTTCCCGTCCAATAGAGCTAGTGAACTCAAGCCATTGTCTTTCCCGCTCTTTAATCTTCTCTTCCCTGGCTACTTGACACACAGTTTTAAACAACTCTTGGTTACTTTCAGTGGGATGTCTCCGGTACTCTCTACTCATGTCTCGCACATTTGCGTTAAGCATCTTTATGTAATCATTCTCATACCATTTTATTTTCTTCCTCTGAGGGTTACTTCGCCCAGGCGTACGGCGCGGAACTCTTAGACAGCTCTCAATGTGGTGGTTAAGGTCATCAACAAATGTGTTAATGTCTTCTGGGATTTGGTATTCCGTGAACCAGTCACTCATCCTGTTTATGAAGTGCGGCCTCATATCTGGTCCGAGTGATAACCTTTTTCTTTTATTTGTCTCTTTCCTTCTCTTGCTCATGTCGACGGTGGTAATCAGTGCCCAATGGTCACTACATAAACTGTGCACAATGTGTGTACTGGCATCCATGTCCTGTGCATTCAGCAGGAGAGCATAATCTAATCTTCCTCCTCTGAGGTGAGTTGGCTGTTCATCACCCAGGACCCTAAGGTTTTCACTTCCCCTGACAAAGAGTGACAGTTTCCGTCCATTGACATTGGGCTGATGACAGTTGGCACCAAAGTGTGGGTGTCTGGCATTCAGGTCACCGACCAGCAGGGTAGGTTCTTCATTAACCTTCAGCGTGGTTATCCATCGTGGAGGTGTTGGTCATCAGATGTACTGTGTGTGGTGTTGTTGCTGGTGAGAGTGTGTTCACTGGTGGTGTTGTATGTGGTGTTGCACCACCGTCATGTGCTGGTGGTACTGTTTGTATGCCAGTGCCAGTGGTCAGTGGTGTTGTGTACACTAGTGCCGTTGTGTTCACTGGTGGTGCTGTTGTCTTCACTGGTGGTGTTGTGTTCACTGGTGGTGCTGTTGGTGGTGTTGTGTTCACTGGTGGTGTTGTGTTCACTGGTGGTGTTGTTGGTGGTGTTGTGTTCACTGGTGGTGTTGTGTTCACTGGTGGTGGTGTGTTCACTGGGTCGCACTGAGTTCACTTGGGTAGCACTGAGTTTGCTGTTATGTGCCGTGGCTCGTGTTGCATCCCCATGCACCAAGTTGCAACCTGCTGAACTCGCCTGAGGCAACTTCAGGCCCTGCAGAATGTGAAGTATGGCCTCCTGGGTCTTCTGGATTGTACATAGGGTATTCTCAAGTTTATTTTGCTTGCTTATTAGTTCTTGCATGAGTGGGTGATTTTTTATAATGTGGGTAATCATTGCTTCCATATCGGGCGGCATTGTTTTATCTGGACCCAGTGAGGTGTTGACTGGTGAGTGGGGAGGGGAAGTGGTAGGGTGGGGGGAAGGGAGGGTCGCCTGAGAGGCGGAAGGGCTGGTTGACTGGGAGGCGTTAGGAGGTATAGGTGATGAGGCAGGAATGGTGTTGTTGGGTGGGGTAGGGTTGGGGTTAGTGTGGGAGATAAGGTTGGGGTTAGTGAGCGGGGTTGAGGTAAGTTGGTTTGTGAGAGAAATGGGGTCTGGTTGGGCCTGTGCGGGGTGGTGGTGGGTCACTCCACCACTACCCCAGGCTGGTGTCTGCCTACATATATATATAACCCATTATGTTGTTTGAAAATACGGCTCTCTATTATAAGATTACCAGAGAGGGGAATTCAAATATTCATTAATCCCTTCGGTAATCAAATAAGAAGTTCTCTCTCTCACACACACACACACACACACACACACACACACACACACACACACACACACACACACACACACACACACACACACACACACACACACACACACACACACACACACACCACACACTCACACACACACACACACACACACA